GGAATGTCAACGCACGCGATGGGTGATGGAGGTGGGCCACTCGCTTGGGTGGGCCACTCGCATGTGGTTTACGTTATCGATTTCTAGAGTTTTTGTTATTTGGCGGCATTTGCGCCATTTGCCCAATGGCTTTCTCGCTGCACTGAGCGCGAATGTTCGGTCGTGTAGCAAGGGATCACTTCAACAGTGAGAGACTAAGTCCGTGTCCGCGATTCGGCATGGACAAGAGGGCAATACACAGTGACGTGGGAGCAGCGAGACGCAAGAACTCGACGAGGGCTAGACGAGCAGGGCTGTACTGTACGCCACTAATGCATGCGTAACATGCTAGCCAGCCCATGCCAAAGTGTACGAAGTCGTGAGGCGAGAACCAGGGCAAGCAACGAGACCCAAGGGAGCTAAAACAGCGCTTAAAGAGAGCGGTCAAGAAGAGAAGTGGTTGAAGTTGAAAGTACAGTACAAAGTGGTGGTGGCTGAAGACCCGGGCGGGGGCGGCAGCACCTTCTCAAATAAATACATACGCTATGTATCATGATGGCGCTCTAGTGATTCTTTGGATCGTCACTAGCTAGACGCTATGCCACAGTGTTGCTCAAAGTACCGATTTGAGTGACGGACATCGTGGGGCACGGTGCGTTCTAGTCACGACTGTTACCGTTACCCACCCGGGAGTGCCTAAGGGTACATAGAGTTCTCATCCGAACTTGGCTTTTGGGGTAACATAGGTACCCATTTTTATGACTCTTTGGAGTAGATCTTAATACACACGGATCTCATACCAGGCTCCACAAACAGATACAATGCCATGATAGGAAGCTGCGCGTGCTCATGAGGCGATAGGTCATTCGACGGTTGCTTTATGAGACAGATTGTCGAAAGATAGGGGTCGATTGTACACGAAAAAGTCAATGTGTTGATAGACTTGACGAGAGTATGTTGAGATGGTGTGTAGTCGACAAAGTTGCATAGCTTCGGTATGAGTTTACAGCGGATAGGTTTTACTGATTCGCCGCTTGACAGCATTCACAGAGTCAGTCACCGGGTCATTATAGAGACGAGACTTGGTTCTAATACACTACATTGTACGAATCGCCCGGGGTAGAGATGCTGCCTTGTTGCTGGATGCAGCTGCTACTGATGCTGCCTGGTAACTTCAAGTTTGCAGGCTCAGTGCAGAAACCAGATCTTGGAGACACACACGCGGGAAGAATATCGAAGATCAGCAAGTTTAACGGCAGTCAATATGAGCAGAAATCATTTTTATTTGTGCGAAAGTTCAGGGGTGTTTTTAAGAGGGAGGATCTTGGCTGGATTGCCTGCGGCCACCGTCATACTTAGTGTTCTTATACCACGTATTGAGCCCGCGACCGGGTTCTAGTATGTATGGGCTAACTTTTTAGCCGGATGGAAATACCTTTTTGCTGTCAATCAGATGAAAGTTGTGACTTCTGAGTGAATGCCCGCTCCTTGTTTTATCCCATCCCCCTCAATAGACGAAGACTTCCAGAGGCCCTTTGTTCACTGCTGTCTCTCTTCATTCGTGATCATGCGCCCTATGTCTCTCCGTGTGTGTCGACATTATCTTTAGAGCACCGAATGGTAAGACTAAAGCACTTTGAAGGGATTTGCCTCGTCCTTTGAGATGGAAGGGGCATCTGAGATGTGGTTCGTATCTCTCAAGGCCAGCTCACTGCCGGTTTTGCTTTTGGGCAAGGAAACTTGATGCGAAACGGATGATGATGAACCGCTTGTGATGAGGGATAAAGGAATGCGACTTCTTGATCGAGGCAGGCCAAAGCAGAAGTTCGGTGGGTCGAAGCCGGAATGGTCTGAAAATTGGTCTGGGTATAACTTGTCATAGGGAACCGCAAGCGGGGGGATGTCGAGAGGGATTGGGAATCGGCAGGGATACAAGGACGATTCTTGTGCCTGGCCCTGGTCTTCTGAGCGGTGGCCGAGTCTTTCTACGCCCTCTGGCGCCTTGGCGTATTTAATATCAATTCTGGGTACCTCCGCATGCTCAACCTTCGGTGACGACCCTGAAAGATAATCTGACCATTGAGGGGAGTACATTGCTCGATCAGCATCATCCCATGATTCAAGTATGGCAGATCTATCCGCGATTGCCTCTGGCGTCTCCGAGTCATCGTAGTCTTGGAGTGTCGAGATAGGGGTGATGAGTAAGGGCTGAGAAGGAAAAGGGGGAAGGACTTCCTTCAAAAATTGAGAAGGATCGTGAAGTTCAATACAGGAGTCGGTGCCGCCAAGTGACAGGGCTGAAGGAGTCTCAGATTCGTTACCCGGGCCAATCTGATGACGCAATATCATCGCGTCCTGCTGGGCCTTTTTCTTCGCCTCTACTACTGTCTGACCAAAAGGCTCAAGAAACTTGCTTCGTGTATCGTCTATCTCACGTTGATGTGTCATGTTTTCGCTACCGGGCGAGCACAGATCTCTGATATTGCTGAGAGCAGAGGATCTCCTGATCAATCTCCGACCAGTTCTTGGTGGATTTCCGTGGCATTCGGCTCGATGCCTATTCAGGCCCCTTTTAGAGGTGAAGGGGGGATAAGGGCAGCCCGGGACTGGGCACGCAATCCCCCAGTGAGCAGCCTCATGGGCCCGTAGAATCTCGTCGCCGTCGAATCCCCAGGCTCTATAGGGGCAAGACAACAGACGGCATGTAAACGCGGACGTCCGAAATTCTTGCTTGAACCATTCGAGCTCCTGCAACGTGACCCCGGTAAAACTGCGCATGGAGAGGATTTTCCGCACCGTTTGCTGATAATTGTTCAAGAGCAGTCTCATGCCTGTCAAATCGGTTGGACTGGTTTCGATGCTTCCTACCAAAGCTTAATATTCCCGGCCACGAAATTGAGTCGACCGACGTACCTTGTTCTGGAAATTCTGAGCTAGCCACCAATCGACCACAGCGCTGTTCCCGAGAGAGATCTTTTGCAAGTGTATACAGCCCTCCGTGAATACCTTTAAGCGCAGCAAGACGGCGATCCTCTCCTTCGGGCTCAGAACATTCTCTTTCATAATCCTGGGCTTCCTCTGATTCCTGCCTTAGAATCTCTGCGAGTTCGCGCGAAAGTTCGAAGAACTGTCCTCTTAAAGGATCATCGTTACTATCATCTGCTGCTGCAAGAAGATAGTCAATCCAATGCTCTGTAGCGTAGAGATGAAACACATGGAGGCCTCGAACAGCTCGAAGAATTTGAGATCGTTCTGGGTTTTGCGGGGACAGATACCGAGCCCCAGAAAGCAGACATGCAGCGGTCGCAATTCCGTGTTCGTAGGCAGCCTCCCGTTGTTGTAAGGGGAGCTTGCTTTCGGGACTTTGTAGGTAACTAGATGGGCTTCAGCAGAGATGCGAAATCCAGACTCATTGTTGGTGACATACTCTCTCACTGAAACGTGGATGAATCTAAATGTCGAGTCCCGGTGCTTCTCGACGATAGGGATGCACATATCGAAGAGATACTGTGGCACGAGCTCGTCGGCATGTGTATCGCCCGTCCTGAAGACCAAGGCAGATCGAAATTCTCCTGATCGGAGTGGCCTCTTTGCCAATGCAATCCATCCTAAAATTGACCTCATGATGCCAGTCGATCGTTTATCGAAATTCGTCATTATTTGGGTTACGATCTTTCCGTAGCTTCGACTAGAGTTAGCCCAACTTAAAATTCTGGTCTCTGTTGGGGCCCGAGAATACTCACAAGTCTCCTAGTTTCCGCGGTAGTCTAGACGTCCACGGCCAGAAGTACCTCCTCACGCTTGCAGAACATGTTGGTGTTAAGGTATTCCAGTACCAGTCGGGCCCATAGAAACATGCCTGGTGAGATTCTCGTCAGTTTCAGGCATGACAACGGGGTCCTGTCCCGCTTACCATCCGCTTTCACGACAATGCGTTGTTGCATTGCTTGCCAATCAGCGTCAGTGATCTTCATCTCTAGCAGTTTTGGACGAAGGGTCGCAAGCTGGGAATCACAATAGTGAGACATGGCTTTGTTGATATTCTCCTTCTCATCGGAAAGGGACACAATATGCTTGTTCCGTGTCGTCTTGGTGCCGCTGCGGAATGCCCGGCCTGGCACGAGCACCTTGCACACAGTCGACCCCGATCTTTCAGCGGCTGCCACAAACTTCTCCAGAATGCTCAAGATTCTTTCTTGCTGCTTTGGCTCACATTCATCCAGCCCATCTAGAATCAAGTGGATGTACTTGGTCTGTGACGGCGCAGTTGGAGAAGCACCCATGAGCTCGCGGATCAGCTCCTCGATGGTCCGCGAGCTCGCTGCATTCTGCCCCAATACGAGCCTGTCCCACACATGAGCAATCAGGTCAGTGTCGGATCGAATGAGTTGTATAAGAATGGAATGCAGTATGCGGTTGTATTCGCATGACGTCTGGTACTGGTACGTGCAGAAATGCGCGACGACCTGTGAGTGTCCGCCAGCCCTCAGAAAGGTGGCGATCTGTGCAGACAAGACGCTCTTACCACTGCCAGGACATCCATTCAGAAGTAAGAAGATAGACTCCCGGTTGCATCGCATCCAACATCGGATCTTCTTCTGATTGAAAATCCAGCTTGAAGTGCCTGCAGTCTCGGCAGCGCCCGACGCGATCGAGCTGAACACTTCGTCTTGATCAGCTTCTCCAAACTCCAGACAGCCAATGATGGCACGGTATTGCGAAGCAGTTAGCTGCGCCTCGTCTTTGGCCAGTTTCTCATTGGACTGCTGCCTCCAGCTCTCAATTTTCTCCCTCATTTTCCGAGCCTCGGTAATGTTTATCGCATTGCAGGTCTTGTCCACCAAGTCTTCGTGAATCTTCAGGTCTTCGATAATGCACTCGAAGCGTCGCTCAAAGCGTCCCCAAGAATTCATAAAGAACACTTTCCAGTCTGTCGAAGAATCAGCTCGTTATAATCCTCATGAGACGAGAAAAGCTGCATACAGCTTCTTCGGACAAACTGGTACGCCTCTTTATGGAATTTGAGAATGTCCACATAGAAGATGGCCAATGTTTGCTGGACGTTGGTGTTGTCAAAGAATGCCCGGTCAAATTCACGGAACCTCAGGAGGCACTCCCCGATCCGGCTGTAAGCCCTGATAATTTTCTCGAAGGCTTCCACGCAATCAGAAGATACCTGTGCAGAAGAAATACGTCATTGAGAGCCTTCTGAAAGTAATCATCATGTTCAAACCTTCAAGATCAGCTTTATTGGTGCCCATATCCATGCAAGATATGGCGTCCCGTTGCAGAGGACTTCTATTGTCTTCGAATAGTGTTCCAAACCCTTGAATAGAGGTACCAGCAGCCACATGTTAGGACCCCACTGTCGCGCGGCAAGCTGGTTCTGGACTAGGTGGGCAGCGTCGCGCACATCTTCCAGTGTTGTGTTTTCCAGCCCGACTCGATCTTCAGTCGACACGACTTTCTCGAGATCTCGGAACGCCGCCTCGATGATACGCCGCGCGGGCAGGGAAACGCGGGTGCTGAGTGGCATCGCTGTCTTCGCCTGGTCCAGGGAATCTTAAGGATAGGCTTCACAAAGTCGAAAGGCGAAGCATGCAATTTTCTGGAATCGCAAAACATACCAAGGGCTCGTTGATGAAAAGGAATTCATCTCGGTCGATTTCCAGCAAGAGACAGGATGCACATGCAGTCCTCTCCGTCCACACAGCCGCCTGCTCCGCCCCCCTCATGTAGCAAGAGAGCAGTGCGGTGCGACGGGATTGGTCAGTACTTCCAGAAGCCAGGCTGATAGCCATGTTGCCTGCACCAAGGCAGAATGACCGCCCAACCGTACGCCCGTCCAACTGCTTGTGCCTTTATCGGGACATTGAAATTTGCTGGCGGCTATCACACTGGGCCTTAAGCAGCCGCGTTTGCCCTCACCTACACCCTCCACTCATCCCAGCTTTTCGCAATCTGCCGTGGCTTCCCCCACAGGAAACTTTGTTTCTTTCCCCTGATCATCGCTTCCTGGTAATTTGAGCCACCGAACCCCGCTCATCGCATCTCTTAGGGACCTATCCAACTCTGAGAGTCGCCATGCCTCCCATAGGGAGATTTGCCGGCCTCGATGCGGTGGCAACAAGGACGAAGCGCCCATATGCCGAGTTCTCTGAAGACTTGAGTGCGGCCGAGAATACTGAGGGCCGCAATATCATTGCCCCGGCTCAGTTATGTCTACCGCGCTCTGAGGACCCTCCACTCCAAGCCACATCATCATCAACCCTAGGCTTCGCGCACCAAGACAACAGCACATTGCCCTTTACACATTCTAGCACAGCCGAACGACCTTTATCAGACTCTCGTATGCAGACATCTAAAGAATGTCCTCCCGCCATCTCTTTGAATCTTCCGGCAACGACCTCTGTGACAGAGCACAATCTACTACACGACCAGGGCCGAAGGCGTGTCTATGACCAGCAAGGCGAGATAAAGGATGTCCAAGTGTGTTTCGGAATGGTTTGAATCCCCAGCCGTGTCTTCATATCCAGCAGTGGTTCACGTTGGCAGGTTATGCGAATAGCAGCCCGCTGCTACAATTCGATCTCTTCCACTTCGGCCACCTACCCAATTTGCCTCCAGGATGCCGTCAAGTTCAGCGGATTGGATGGATCTGGTTTTGAAGGTTAGGTGAATCCTGATTTCACATGGCTGGTACAAGCTCTCCTCGATGAGCCATCGCTAGAGCTGGAGGCGAATGCCACCACGACAACGGATTCACTCAAATCAGCAGGCAAGCGGCAGGCGCATTGCAATCCCAGATTCTCGAGGCCATGCTCCCTGAATATCATAATCTATGGTCCAGTCGAGTTGCTTGATGATATCTACGACTTCTGCAACGAAAACGACATTTATCTCCAGGATCCAATTGGCTGCAAAAGAACGTACCGTACTGCAATCCCAACAGGCTTCCTGAGGTAGATAAGTCCGAGGTGATGACCGGGAACCTTCTCAAACTCGCACTTTGCCCAATTTCGATACAAAAAATGACAACCGCCCGGAGCTGCTGGACCTTTTGAGCTCCCGGCAGAGCCTGGCTGAGACAGAACAACCACGCTCCATACGTACTCCCCTGGCACGGTAAGGCCCGAGAGCACGATTATTGATTTGTACACGCTGACATTATCAAGTCACCAAAAGCAAGCCTTGACTTTCATGCTCCAGAGAGAGCAAGGCTGGGCCTGGGACGGAAGTCGTCCGGACATATGGGAGGCAGACGAAATCAGACAGGAACAATTGTGAGTCTCCAGAGAGCTCATGTTATCTCCAGTTCTTGACTGTTTGCTGCAGCTACATAAACAGAGTGTCTGGAGCCCATCAAACTGAGCAGCCGCCTTGGTTTTATGGAGGCATTGTAGCGGATGCCATGGGGCTAGGCAAGACGTTGTCCATGATTGCCTTGATAGGTTGCGATATGCATCTGGATTTCGGGGATCCAGAGTCCATATCCGCAGTTGACTCGGCGGATTCTTCGGGAAGAACTCTCATCGTTGTTCCCCCTCCATGTAAGCCCAATCATTGCCCCAACAGTTCGACATTCTTCATATTGACTCCGGCTGCAGTGCTTATCTCATGGGTGGAGCAATTGCAAGAGCATCCAGTGCCCAATAGCCTTCCATGGCGTCTTCACCATAACAAAGATCGCTTGACTAACGATTCAGACCTGGAAGATACTTAAATAGTTATTACGACATATCAGACGGTCACTGCGGAATGGCGGAACGCCAACGGAACCAATTCAAAGTCATCAATCATCTTCAATACCATATGGAAGAGAGTAATCCTAGACGAAGGTATGTCTCCTGGTCCGATTGCATTCTTTCAGCGTCTGAGAGTAGAATCCTAGCGCACTATATACGCAATAGCGAGTCCCAGATGGCCCGTGCAATCTGTTCCCTCCACTCCGTCTCGAGGTGGGCCGTGACCGGCACACCGATCCAGAACAAATTGGGGGATCTGGCCACACTGCTTAGATTCTTGAATGTTTATCCTTACTCTGGGAAAAAAGCCTTCGACACCGACATCTCGGATTTATGGAAGTCCGGGCAAGTTGACGAGGCCGTGAAGCGACTGAAACGACTCTCGGTCTGCCTTCTCCTTCGTCGACCCAAGGAAACACTTCAATTGCCGCCGAGAGACAATACCAAGCTTGCGATTCGACTCAGTCCGGCGGAGAGACAACTCTATGACGAAATCAGGCACCATGTGATTGATCATATTGACTCAGCATTACACCACCGTGGTGACTCGCAGAGCACTCCGTCCTATGTCAACGTTCTCCAGAAGATCGAGGCCATGCGCATGGTCTGCAACATTGGCAATCTCTATCCTGCTCGACACGAGCTCTCAAAACACCGAGAAATATTAGAAGGCGACTGGCACTCCACGGCACAACGAGTCTTCAACCTGCAGCGCGGGGCTGGCCAAGTACAATGCCAACTTTGTTTACATGAACTCGATATGGAAGGGAACCTGGAAACAGATTTGGTGCAGCCCCCAGCGTCAATGTTTTTTCAGTGTCTGGTATTCACTTGCTCCACATGCTCTCAGGGCCTGGCCGCGGATGGAAGCTTTTTATGCGGCCACGACCCGCCGTGTCCGATGGCCCCGGTGTCTACAGATCCCTCTATGCTGGAGGAGTCGTCAACGATAACGATAGATCGGTTCGAACTTGGTTTCACGACAGGTCTGCCTACGAAAGTTACCGCTCTTCTGGAAGATATACAGAGACAACCAGAGGACGTGAAATGGTGAGTTGAGCCAGAATGGCAATGGTCGAACATTGAAGGCTCACTTTCACTAGTGTTGTGTTCTCCACATGGAGAATGACGCTCGATATAGTAGCTATCGGACTAAGACAGGCAGGAATTTCTTGCCTACGATTCGACGGCAAAGTACGGCAAAAGGATAGAAAGGGGATTATCGACAAATTCCGTAACGATGCCTCTGCTAAGGTGTTGCTCTTGACGTTGTCGTGCGGGGCAGTTGGGTAGGCATCCGACACAACCCACTCCCCACCGTCGCACGGGTAGGCTAATGTATGCTTTCTGCAGTCTGACACTGACTGTAGCCTCAAGGGCCTATTTGATGGAGCCAAATTGGTAGCTACCAAAGGTCACAGAGGATGTGATTCCGGCTGACGTTCTAGGAACCCGACGGTGGAGGATCAAGCGCTAGCACGAATCCATCGCATAGGACAGACTCGCAGCGTGACCACAATCCGATTCATCGTCGAAGATTCCTTCGAAGAGGTAGGAGACTGAGCTCTGTCGCATGGGGCCTGCGCACTAACATTATCAAACAGAGAGTCGTGGAGCTGCAAGAGTCTAAGAGGGACCTTGCAGAAGTCTTGCTCAACCGCCGTGCTGTCCCCAATGGACCAGGTGAACATGCACAGAGGCCTCTAGAGGTACACGAGTCCGTCCTTAGCATGTCCATGCGCTGATAATATGGCAGTGGCTGCGAAGACTTATTTAAGGGCAAAAAGGAAGCACAAAGGGAGCAAGAACATACAACAGCCGGGATTCGCTAGTCGTCACCGACCCAACTACTGATCGGCCCCTTAGGACTCTTTGCTATCAGAATACTAACAGCGTAAAGTAGAAGAATAGGTATCTAGGACAGACGCCTATAATCTCCGTTTTTGGAGGTTATCATCCACGAGCAAGGATCCACAGTACAGTCATATTGTATAATCGTTAATAAAACGGGCGTATCCTTGAACGTCGATTAGTTATCAAAGGGTAACGTTATAAGAAAATTATTAGCCTCTACTAAAGCGCCCGGGCTCAACGGTCAGGTTGTATGACCCTGCATAGCTCGTAATGCCAGTTGTAAATGTTCTTCTTCTCGGAGGCCAGCAACATCTTGGGTGTATGGTCGTCTTCAGTCCACAGGGGCCAGGCGATGGGGCTTGTCACATTGCCAATGAGAGGTATTTGCTCCGTTCACTCTTTCAAATCAGGCGACGTGCTGACGGATATCGTGTTGTTAGTCTTTGTCGATCGGCACGGTTTCCCAATCCTGTCCGATGAAGTGTATGAGATACGTCTCGTCGGCTGGACTCCACAGAAGAGTCGGATTGTGACGAAAAGTATCGAACAAAGTCTGCTTCCAGATAAAAGGTCCTCGAGGCTCCGTTCTGGATCACCTGGCTGAAAGGTCGCCAGGCGGAGTCTAGCCATGTTTGACCTGGCTTGCAATCAAGTGGAACTACCTCTTTTCCTCCCGATCATGAATAATCTAGCCGCCCCAGGATGAGTTGTCACCTCCTTTCCGATAGAATTCCGGGTTGGGGTAGTTCGTATTGTTACATCCCGTCCAGCGCTCCACGGGCTGCAAGTCCAGCTTGCCACAATTGGACCCCGTCCAGCCAGGATCACAGCGGAAGTTATGTGGCAGGTACAGATACCGTTGGGTGAGCAGTTCTTCATGGTTGTGCAGTTCTTCGCGAAGGAGAGGGCAAGCCCGCCCGAGGAGGACGAAGGATGAGACACGCGTCTTCGAAGACGGGTCTTGTAAGTGGTTTCCAGTAGTCATCTATGGTCATTAGTTAGAGTAGACATCATCACCGTGCGGATCAATATATATATACATATAAGGTTCCCCCCATCTCGCTGATCTGGGGCACCAGGCGGGGACTCCCAAGGTCGAGTGGACGGCTGAATACATTCTAAAACTACATTTAGTCCTCGCAAAATCTCGATAATACCCCCCGAAACCCCTTAGCCAGATGAAATTGCAAGCCGTCGGTTCTGTTGTCCGAGTTCTTCCAAAAGCCAACTTAGGATTGCACTTTGGTGATCAAGCAGTTCAAGGACAGGCCCTAGGCCACGCATAGGGCGTCTCCGATGAGGATGGCAACACCTCGTCGGCTCGCTCGAATCCCTCACGTCAGAGACCTATAACGTACGTTAGCAAGAAATATGCTTCGAGTAGCGCTCTATCCACTGGCTGGCGTCAGCTCACAAGCTTGAAGTACGCGAGACAAGAGCAGCCAAGCATAAGCCATCGAAAGCAAACGCACAATGCAAACACATTCACAAACAACACAGCTTGAACACAACAACCCAGAATTGCACTCACGCATGCAGAAAGGTAGCCAGAACGCAAAAGTAACGGATTTTTCAATTGACTGCACGCAAACCAGTTCTAGATCTTCCAACGCCAGGAAAGCAGCTCATACCTAGACTCAAGGAAAGCCTGTCGTAGGTGTGTCGTGACGAATCCCAAGTTTGATAGTGCAAAAACGTGACAAACGTGATGGCGCTCTTGGGACGGAAGAAATCGCAGTCATGTTATCCCATATTGCTGTCGTGGCAAAAGTTCAAAAAAAGCTAATGATGCCCCATATTGCGCATCGGGCGGGCGAGCCAGTCATCATCATGACGAGCATAGCGTGAACAAGACGAAGCCAAAGTTTACTCGTAGAGGCTAGGATAAAAGTTTAGCCTATTGACTTCTAGGCAAGCACATCCATCGAGGGGAGCAACCTACTTTAGACCTGAGGGCCGGGAGGGCCCTGGGGACCAGGGAAGTGGCCGCCAACAAAGGCGCCAGGGCCGACAGGGGGGCCGCCAGGAGGACCGCCAGGACCACCAGGACCGTTAGGCCCGGGTCCGGGACCAGGCATGCCAAGGTAGTGAGGGGGAGGAGGTGCCGGGCGGTAAGGGGTGCCGACGCCGGAGTTGTTCTGAGAACGACCCCAGGAGAGTCGGACGCGCGAGTTGCCAATGGGGTAGCCCTGCATTTGGTTGATCGCCATCTCAGCGGCGTGGCGGTGGACGAACTGCACAAAGCCGCAACCCTTGCCAGGAGGAATCTTGACGTAGGTGATCTCGCCAAAGCCTTGGAAGAAGGAGCGGAGCTCATCCTCGGTGACGTAGCCGGAAAGGCCGCCAACGAAGACCGTGGTGTTGTTGGGATCGGTGAACTGGTTCATCTGCGAGGCAGGGTTGAAAGCACCACCGCCGCCAGCACCACCGTAGGCGCCAGGGAAACCTCCGCCCATACCGCCACCCCACATGTGCTGTTGAGGCATGCCCCCGCCCATCATGGGGTTAGCGTGATGAGCGTGACCGGGGAAGCCATGGTTGTTGCTGAAAATGTCAGTGTCTGGGACGCGGCCTAGTGGATGAGGGAGCTCACCGGTTCTTGGGGGTTGCGGTAGAGATGCGCATGGGGCGGTTGCCGCAGTACACACCTTGCATCTCCACAAGAGCGCGCTGCTGGTCGGTCTCGTCGGCAAAACGGACAAAGCCGTAGCCTCGAGACTGACCCGACATGGCGTCCGTCATGATCTTGGCGGACTTGCACGATGGGAAGCGAGCTTGGAAGAGCGAGACGAGTACGTATTCGTTGACCTCGGGGCCAAGGTCGCCGACAAAGATCGAATATTCAGGTCCACGGTCCTCGCTGGGAATGGTGTCAGTCTGTGGTCAACGGAAATATGGTGCGCAATGATGCAAGAGTGTATGGATGGTAGCGTGATGGAAGAGATCGATAGTATCGAGCACGAATGAAAAACAAGTGTGTGCCATAGGGTGGCAACGGCCAACAATCCGAGTACGCAGGAAGGCGGGATGGAAAATTGTGATTCGGGAAGGAGGAGTACTCACCGACGGTCGACGAGACCACCACCAGAAGCCCAGTTGAGCTTGAATTGACGGGAAGAGTTGGGAACAGCGCTGCCGTTCAAGTTCAACGCACGAGCCGCAGCATCAGGGGTCGCAAACTCGACAAAGCAATAGCCGGCATTACTAAAGTCTGTAAGCATAGTGTTCGTTCAGCCCGCGCGACGAACATTCCACATACCCAGAGTTTTTGTCGCGAATGACTTTGACATTAACATTTTCAGACAGTTGCGACATGAAGACGCCCTTGATGAAGTTCTCGTCCATCCATGGCTCGAGCTCACCCATCCAGAGGGTGGTCTTGGGAACGTCCTGGCCGTTGCCAGCGCCATTGCCGGGAGGAGGCTGGTTGGGGTCGCCACCAGGGGGCGTGCCGTTGGAGTAGGCACCGCCGTTGCTAGGGAATGAGGGATCCATGACCTGGAGGTCGTTAGCTTTTCTGTCTTGAGAAGCCATGTTCGAAGTCGCTGGGCGATGAGTGTTGAACCGTGTCACTGATAAAATGCGTGCAGAAGCTTTCAAGACCAGCGCAAAAATAGACAAAGAATAACTGAAGATGTTGGATAATCCAAGTGCAGTAGCGGCAAGAGAACGAGGAAAGGTTGAGGGAGTGTTGTAAATTTCAACGCCTCATCGAGTGGTGACCTTGCCCTGACCCTCAGGTCCTCAGCATGTACATTCTGTGTGCTCATCTGGTCACACAGACGAGTCACAGCACCGAGAGCGTCATTGAGGCCGGCCCTTTTGGGATGTAGGGGTCCCCATCTAGCCGTCTGATTTTTGCCCATGGGGTCACGTGGCGTGAAGAGACGGCAACTAGACGAGGCGCAACAGCCCTGTAACCAAGGCATACCTCTCTGCGAATGTGCTCTCCAGCGTAAGGAGTCTCGCCGGAAAGTAGGATATACCGGATGCGATGAAGTGAAATGCGATGAGCGGTGGGGTTGGGGCTGAGGGAAGTATTGAAAGTGCCAAATGCTTACCAAAGATATCTCCTTCACGTTGCTTAAGATGCTAGTGTAGCCTGGGCCTGATAACTTGGTTAGCTCTTGTTCATAGGCCAAAGGCAATGATAGTGGCCTGCGGATGGATGGCCTGTGATCGAGAGTGAGCGCGGGCTGAAGGGCAAATAAAGCCCCCAGCTACCGCTGCAGGGTGCCATCAATCCAAGTTCTCGACCGCTTGTAGCTATCAAACAATCTCGAAAATTCCACTTGAAAGAGAGCGTTGGTTCCAAAAATTGTCTGATCCTGGCGGTGAATAGGCAGTAGATGTAGCAGCACCCCCTTTTCCCCATCACCAGAGCCGACCAACGAACAAAGCTACATCAAGCGCATAGCGGAGGAATCTCTGACTAACCTTGACGTAGATGCAATGAAGAAGTTTCGCAGGGAAGATTGAACTTCGAGTGACTACTCCCGGTCAATTGGACAGTTCTCCCGACAGCATTTGCAAACACTATCAGCGTGTGTGCGTTGCAGGAAAAGCACAAACCTTGAAGCAAGAACTCAAAGCGGAAAGCTTTTAATTTAGGATTTGTCGTGGGAAATCGTGAGATCTGGGCTCATGCGTCAGCAGCGGATACAAACAAGCATAACCTCCACGCAGGGCCGTCACTGCTTCCGTTCTCCACACAACGTACCTCGTGCCAAAAAGACCGTAAATCAGACGTTGAAGGCGAAGTCGGGAGTGGAACAGATCGCGAAGACTAGTATCCAAACCCAAAGCCGAGACTCCGAAAATAAGTGTTGTTCGCGCTGCTAAATCACGACAACCTGAAAGTCAGCTTTCCGTAGCGTCAAGAAACGTGCATAAAAGTGTAGATAGTTGTCGGTGGTATCTTCTCCAGTTCCAAGTTCGGGTTGCCGCGAGTCGCCGATTGTGAGGTACTCGTTCAGTACCATTCGAATGATGTTCTTCGTCGATTCCTTGGCCTTGCCCGTTCTCGGCACAAAAGTCCTCGCCAGCAGCGCGTCACCCAGTCGAGTTCTCGTCGTCGTCCGAGTTGGCCACCGTATATCAGACGCGCCATCGTCAAGAGTCCACGCCATCGCAAGCGCAATCCTCATTTCGCCGCCCAATTTCCTCTGGAGATCCGCTGCGCAGGTCGTGGCTAGGATGTAGAGAGCTACAGAGCTACTCTTGATATAGCAGTCACGGCTCGCGGCTGCCGCTGCGAGCAATTTGCTGTGCCACTTGAATCGTATACATTGCGGGATTCGGTTCGTCGTTCATGCTGCCTGCGATCCTTTCCAATCTCGAAATGTCCGCCCACTTCCGCCCATGCGCGTCACAGACTCCGCCGCCGTGTTCGCCCATCGTTTCGTCATTGTGGGAATTCCGTCGGGGGAGAAGTCGGTAGTGTACTGCGTCGAATGGCTATGTCGTCGGCGTCGCGGAGAAGATACCACCGGGATGTCGAGGGTGCCAGGGCAAGAGGGAGGACATGGAGAACGGAGTCGAAAAAAATCGGTCTGGGAGGGGCTGGAGTTGAAGCACTTACTTTTGTGCGCCGGCAAAAACAACGGACACTGAGCCAATTCGCCGAAACAAGCGCAAGGGAATAAACCGTGGCAGCCGTGACGTGAAAAGGAATTCGATGTGAAGAAGGTTAGAGAAACAAAAGAGCTTCACGAGAAGGGGACAGAGGGAAGAGTCAACTGAGATGACGGGCGAAAGCTTTTTTTTCCCATAGATCCGCCGCACAGCTGGGTCTGGCTTGGGCCACGACGCAATCCACCGCACAAAAGAGCAGTGAGCACAGCCTTGGGCTGAGTCGCGCGGGGACTTGGGCCAAGTGTGGAGCGCGTGGTCGGCAAGGGGGGGGTGGTTGGAGTCAGAGGCGCTACAAAACGCAAGGGGATCTTCGATTTGTTGCTGTTGGATTGTTGGAGGCTTGGAGCACCGTTCGAGGCTGCGTCGTGTAACGAATGTCGCTGATGACAACAACAAGAGTTGCAGTAGTAAGCCAAGTGATGATGTAGATGGCTGGTGTTTGTTGAATGACGGACGCGGTTGAGGCGCAATCGCAGAACTTGAGATCAGTGCAACAAATGATGTATGTGATGATGCCCGAGTGCGGTATCGGTGCTGGAGGGGCAACAAAACGGCACGGATGAGAATTTTTGAACGGAACGATCACGAAGCGATGCCAGAGAGGAAGAGAACATAAAACAGGGTCCAAACTCATATAATACTTCAACTTTGTAAGATTGTGGGCATCAAGGGGCTTAAGTCACCATGACAGGGCTGCGTACCTACTTGACAGCTCGCCAACTCGACTGGACGGCCATCTGCGCGGCGTCGAATAAGTCCAAACTTTGTTCACGACGTATGCCATTTGGAGTTGTTGAAGCGCTGGGCTGGGCGATGATGGTGGGGAGCATGATGGCTTGCGAGAGTTTGGACTTTTTGCGAGAACTGGAGACGGGACTCGAAGCTCATGGAGGGTGGGGGTGTCGCTAAAACTCCGCACTCAGAGCAGGAGCACTCTCACCGGGTTGCTTCCTGCCATTCAATGGTGATGGATACATTGTGAGTATCTCCGGCAAACGGTAGGATGATACAGCAGTCATGGACAGGATTTCATGGCAGGAACGTCCTGCGTTTTCTGTCCATCATTGTGTGCCAACGTATTGGCGACGATAGGTAAGGCAGGCGCATCTGTGCGAGCTCTGAATAAAGTATCTACTAGCAAGGTCAATTAATTCTCGTCCAGTCGTTGGAATGCACAGCAGCTTCGAGCCTCAGTCTCATGCGGATGCAGGCATCCTGTTGCTTGACGAATGACTAGTAGAGCTGGGACTGGAAAGGCCGCTACAATAATACTACCACTACCTTAGGTATCGTGCGTATTCCCCTCCATGAGAGCATCATGACAACTTCACTTCTGCCAGGGCCGTGTGTTTATTAGAATTTGACAGGGGCCCACTAGCTTTCTTTCGCCCTGGTGCTCAAGGATTCTTACAGCGACGTCTACAGCCCTCACTGGTCGAAGCACCTCCCGTGTCCCCTGCGAGCGCAGTCCTCAGGTGGATACAAACCATGGCAATCGTGCAGCTCTTTCAGCGCCGGCCTCGCTTTCTCGAGGTCATAGCGTGATGGCGCGCCGTCGGCCGCGAGCCAGCGACAACGGCGACTGCCAGGCAAGGCAAGGCGTGCTGGCCGGGGCACCATGCGACAACAGGCAATGCCGATACGGATGCGATGCATTGACAATAATAAGAAGTGGTCACACAAGCAGCTTCCTCGCGTCTGGGGTTCAGGGTCATAATTTCAGCCAGTCTCGTGCACTACGTATCTACGTGTATTTCGTTCGTTGGCATAGCTGCAGCGAAGAGAACCTGATTGACGTCACGGCACCGTTGGCCAAGCAAAGAAAAACGACTCGATGATCAATCAGAGCAAAAGCAGGGGCTGGCAGAAAACCGCATCAAGCCACGCATAGGATTCTGGAAATTCGATCATGCCGGCGAACCCCGTGGAATGGCGCGAGATGAACGACAAAGACAGGTCAACCTTGCTGTCTCGGTGGCATGATACTAGCAGCGCTTGCGTTAACTTCATCATGTCTCAGTCGCTATCCCATGTCGCGAAGCCGTCTGCAATGCTTCGGGTAGTAGGGTAGTCTAGCCAGTCTCGTAGAGGATCGAAACAAGCTGACGCCTGCACCCGAAGTTGCACAATCGGCGAATGAAACGCCGATTGCTTGCACAGATCCAAGGAAACAATCATGCCCACTACGATTGTGTGTCAGTCCTACTGTTGTTATCTACGTGCTGCATGGCACGTCCTGTCCGTCACGAGGTCGCAAACAAATCGTGGAAGCTATCGATGATTTCATGCAGCTCGATATGCAGTATGAGGGCATGTTGACCCTCTTGCGGAGACTACTCACCACTCCAAAACTTGGCTGCTGTTATTAGTGATCATCACTTTTATCTTGTGGAGAGTTGAGGGGATGGCTGGCTGCTGCGCAGCGACAGGGCTAAGAACCCTGCTCACCAACATCGTTGGAGCTTGTTGATACATTTGTTGATGGGCACCGTCGAGCTGGTACATGTAGTATCCTGCGTGACACGAGCAAGAGCTTATTAACTACCATGTTCCCTTGAGGATCTACAATGCACGCTCGCGCTCTAGGGTGACCTGGAACAATTGCTCAGCAGCCATCCGGGTGTGTCGTTAGTCTCTGGAGATGACTGGCATTTGGAAGCAGCCAGTAAGAACACGAGGACGTGATTAGATTGCTTTTCGCGAGCAGTGTGTCTGAGATCGACGAGTCGCTGCAAGCATCAGCCATTCCCCGGATCTGTCAAGCAGCTTTCCGTCTTGACCGTTTGTTGAGCTGGCAAGTCTGGGGACCGTTCTGCACCGGCCTTCTTCACTAGACTTTTCTGGTCTCAACGAGCTGAAGCTATCCCCCTCACGGATACCGATGTATTAGTTGGTACCGACCGCCCGGCATCGGCATCGCCGCCCCTGGCACGGTGATGATACGCAGGAGGCAATATGGGCGCAGTGGGCCACAGGATCCCGAAGCTTCCGACCTTGCCCGCGTGGAATGAAATGCAAGGGCAATCGCAGCCGCGTTGGCTGGAGGCGGGCCCTCCTTTCCTTGAGTCCTCCTGGCGGGCAAGCCTTGGCGATGCGGCAGACCTGGCGGGATGGATGGGTCATCCGAGTCATTGATTGGAGTCATTGATTGGAGTCACGTGCATTCGCGTCACAGTGAGGGCGCAGGGTCGAAGAGGAATATCACAGCTTTGTATCCGTAAGAGTCTGTAATGCATGTGGTCGAGAACGCATTGGCATGTGAACGGGGCGGTTGCAGGCGCAATTAAGATCAGCTAAATGTATATCTCTTCTATCTCCTGAATACACATGTGCATCTACGAGGATCGCATAGCTTTGCCCAGCTCCTCTGCTGCTTCCTTCAAGGCGCGTTGCGGCTTGAGCGCTCGTTCTCTGCCCACCGCTATCTGCACTTGATGCTCAAATGCCGCGATACTGGGACCATCAGGTCCAAACACCTTGGCCTGCATAGCTTTGGCTACAGCCCCAATGGCTTCGGCGCGTCGAACCCTTTGGCCTTCATTGCCAGCTTCGGCTTGCTCTACATCCAAACTCTCCAAGAATTTGAGCGAGGTACCATTGTCTTCCCCAGGGGGGTTCGACTGCTCGGCTGCTGCTTGCATCGCATCGAGAACAGCGTCATACCACACCTCGCGCTTGATCGCGAAGAACTTGGGATTCGACATGTAGGGACTTAGTGTGTCGACGATCTTGGCCAGTACTGTGCTAGGCTCGCGTTGTAATTGACGTCGACTGTAGCCCCTGGCAATAGACTGGAAGCCGTTGGTGGCAGTTTTCGATGCCAGGTCTTCTTTCGTGTCCTTGGAGTCGATCTCCATCTTGTCCTCCGCAAAGTCGTCCAACCAGGGGGTGACAATGGCAATCACATCCTGCAGCATGTCTTCTGGACTGTTTCTCGCTTGGATAAACTGCCATAGTGCCTTAAAAGCGTGCACTCGGTACTCTTCGTTGTTACGCTTGGCCTCTCGCAGTGCAATCTTCTGCATTTGCGCGGCAATCTTTGGGTCCTCGAGCAACGATGCGCCTTTTTCGACGAACTTGGGAAATGACTCGAGCACCTTTTCTTTGCCGGGAAAGGTCTTGAGTGCGAGTACCCTGTCAAAGATTGGCCACAGTAGTTTCAAGTTGGTGTCGCTGATGGAACCGGTTGCATCACTGGCACCTGCGACGTCCGCGACCATGGCACCGACTGTGAAGGCTGCCGTATGGCGAAGACCCCATTGTGTTGTCTCGAGGCACCCGTCGGCCAACTTGACTATTTCGGGGGCATAACGAACGACGGTCCTGCTACTGCCAGCATGTTGCTCCCACACCTCCTTGAAGACCTTGCTTGTGTATTGGTCGATGTCGTGGAGTCCCAAGTATGCGAATGGGAGAAGCTCTGTTTCATTCGCGGTAAAGTGATCCGCTGACAGCTTGGCTAGTGAGAGGACGACGTCCGCGATCTTCTGACGGCGGGAGTCTTCCTCCGCCTGCACGTACATTTCAACGAGCCGCCGGCTGAAACGCGTCTTGTCAGCATCGGACACAACGCGCATAATGTACGCTGCTGCCCTCGCGTATGCTTGGCTAACTTCGTCATTCTTATCAAGAATCTGCTTCTCCATGAGCTTCAGTAGCCCGGCAGAAAAGGGCTCAATATCAGCAGCGTGACGGGTGAATAAGGTTGTTAGAACTCTGCTGCAACCAATCTTGGTCGGCATCCCTATGGCAGTTTTAATCGTCGCTGTCAGCTTGGGTGCCAGCGATATCATGACGTCCTCATCCACAAAGCGGAGGCAGTTCTCGATCGCCTCTGAAATGGGAGACTGATTAACCATCTGTGACCTGAGTCTGTCGATCTTGTCCCGGCTGTCGTCGCCCGCGCGCTGATAGTGGTAGTTGATCTGCTCTGGCTCAATAGTGCTCAGCAGGCCGAGCAATTGCGGCACCATGTCTGGGATGAATGGCCGGAGGGCGTCACCTCCACGCTTAGCAATTTTCATCACCGTGATTGTGGCGAAGACCCTGACGTCGTCCACTGAGCTTTCCATGCCCTTCTCGGAGGTCAAGAATGGCAATGCTTCGTTCATCATCGCCTTTGCGGCGGCGCTCGAATTGTTCTCTTCGAGTTGTCGCACAAGGCCAGTTGACAAGGCCATGCACAGCTTCAATGCTGCCTCGCGCACGCTACCCTTGACATCGTCAAGGACTTTCAGCGCCTTAGCCCAAACCTCCTGATAGTGTGCCTCGTATTGTGGGAAGGGCCTGCCTTGGAGCAAATCGGAAATCGCCGCACAACTCGCTTGGCGAACTCGCCATTCCTTGCCAAGAATGCTTTGCAACAAGTCCTGGAGTATCGCATCAAAGTGATCATCTAGCGCAGACCCAGAGTCCTTGACAAGAGCCTTCCAAATGTCGTCCATGGATCGCTGCACGTTGGGATTCGGGTCAAAGCGGTATCGATACAGCTTCGAATACAATTTGGGGTCGACTTCTGACTCGGACAAGATATTGGACAATCCGAAGCGACCAAAAGCCGAACGTGTCGTCCATGTTGCCGCATTAGCAGCCAGAGACATGAACTTGTACACCAACCGCTGATCGCCCACCTCGTTGGCCAGGTTGACGATGTCCTTATACGACGTGATAGACTTGCCCTCTCCCGTTGGCAGGGCTCCAGCCTCGAACAGTTCCGTTTCCTCCTCAACCTTGAGCTGCGTTCCGCTGCCTGTGAACGCTGACACGAGGTCCTTGGTCAGTGTACTCTTGAGATCGGCATCTCCACGCTCATACACAAGCGAAAGTCCACGCGAAGCCGTTTCCTGGACAAGCTCATCCCGGGCGCTGAGCAGACGCATGAAGGCGGTTTGCGCTTCTCGCAGCCGCGACTGGATCTCAGGCAGATCAGAACAGTACTGCACGATGCAGAATAACCAGATACCGGATGCTTTCAATAAGGAAGGCTTGGTAGTTTTGCAGTCAGTGAAGAGCTTGTCTAATACTGCTTTCGCCATGTCCGTGCGAATGCCTGACTGAAAGTCCTCGTTTCGGGCCTCAACGTCGAGGCCCAGCTTGACACTGTTCGAATCCCAACGAGCAACCGCTGCGCAGATTGCATCGCCAACGGAGAACTGAACCTCGGTGCGCTTGAGCTCGTGGAGGGCGAACAATTCTTTGAAAATGGATCCAAGTTTGCCTTCGGCGAGGGGGTTGCCGTCTCTGGCGGGTTGATCGTTGTCTTCTAGGCTGATAGCCAACCTGCCAAGAGCGAATATGGCCTTTTCGTTGCCTTTCTTCGCCTGAGCTGTGAGCCTACTAATTACCTTGCTGATATCTGCATCACCCTCATTAGGCGGCAGAGCCAGCCCGGCAGCCCATAGTTGAGGAAACATTTCCAACGCAGCTTCGTGTAGCGAGCTTGGGCCTGTCTCACTGAGAAGAAAATTTGTGGGATAGGTAATCTCATGTGCGCGTGGACGGTCATAGTACACTGAACGTGAACAGAGAAACCCAAACGCCATAAGAGCACCTTCCGCTGCATTCACATCCGAGCCAACGGCCTTTTCTGCGCCAGTGAAGCTTTGTTGCAACCTGGACCTCCAATCTTTCACAAGTCTCTCGTCGTTGATTGGGTGTGAAGCTAGTATGCCGAAAGCTTGCGCGGCCAAGTGCCTGACCTCCTTTCTGTTCGAAGTGACAAGGGATAGTAGGTCCTCTGCCTTGTTCGCGAGGTAGCCCAGGCCGCCGCCAGAAGCCAGAGAGGCCACATCAATGAAACAGCGCAAGCATGGTTCCACAATCTGGCTGTCTTTTTCCAGGGCGCCCGACAGACAAGCATTCAGGTACAAGAGCCAATATCCGTTATCAATGTCGGGGTCCTTTAGGTACTTTCTGATCTTCTCGCGAACAGACACACTTGTCTCAACCTGGGAGTCGAGTTTTTCCATCCAATTCGGTTCGAGTTGAAAATCGGACCCCAAAGCGGACAAGAACATCATGCGCTTGATGTATTGCAAGGCGACCGGCACGGCAGTGAGGTACGGCCCGTTAAAGTTGCGATGCAGTGACTCTGGAGTGTCATTGACCTCTTCCAAAGACCCGGGTTGGCTGAAGCTTGCGGGCGTGATGCGCGTCCCAAAGTACATGACAACCATTTCTTCCCAGTCAGGCAGATCAGGTGTTGCATCGTTGTGGACACGGTAAGTCCAGGGATCGAGGCCTTTGTGGCCCTGCTCGACAACGTCATTCTTGTTCCCCTGACCCTGTGCCGAACCCATGCCAATCGCGAGAATATCTATCCACCGACCTAGCACGCTGGAGAATGATAAACATTGGTTGGCCCATTTGACCACGGCGTGACGCGTGCTTCGTACGATGGGGGGACCCTGTTTGCTCATGTACCCTGGGAAATACTTGGCGTCCATGGGATAGTCTTCGTCCCACAGCATATAAGATAGCAGCATGGTCTGCAAGTACTCGCTCTTGTCGCCAACTTCAGGCGGCACGTTCGCGGTCAAGGTCGAGAGAGCACCGTCAATATTGACAACAGCTTCTTGTGTAGGATCCTTTAACAGTGAATCAAATAGCCATTGTGCAAGTTGCAATCGTTCTTGCACAGGCATGTCGGCACTACGAGAAAGCATGCCAATAGTCTCGTAAGCCCTAGACCGCAGCTGGACCTGGTCGTGGCTAATATTGTCGGGTGATGGCCATCCCTGACTGTTGACGTAGGCAGTCATTTTGTGTATGAGTTGGGGCGCAATGGTGAAGTCATCTTTTGACGGTCCCATCCGAGCCACCCATGTCAAGTACTGGAAAAGAGCCTTATGCAGCTTGGTTTTTTCAAGTGCACTGGAAGGCTGAAGGGCTACCTGCGCACCAGCAGCATCGTCTGACATGAAATCAAGGTTCACGACATCCAGTATGCTGTTAGACATGGTCGTAGAGATCGATGACTTTGCCAGCATGTTCAAGATTCGAGTTCGATACGCTGCTGGGAGTGTGGCGTGGGCTTCAAAAAGTTTGGTCACCAAGGCTTCATCTTCCAATGAGACAGAAGTTCGTTTGATGATTTCCTCCGCTGCGGATGCAACACGGTTATCGAAGCTCGAAGCTGCCAACAACGCCGGGAAGAACTTCTCCTCATCTGTGAATGCGCCACTAGCCAAAAGTGCCACGAGCTTAGCTTTGAGCTCTGACAGCCTCTGGTAGATTTTGAGTGAAGACCAATTTTGCACGGCAAAAAGATCGAGGATGCGTGCCTCCCAGTTAGGGTTCGCCTGTGTCCAATCCTGAGAAGCTGTTGGGGTTCTTAGGCGGATAAAAAGCCCAATCATATGGGCGACATGATGAGCATCTTTAGGGTCGTCGAGCCCGACGTTTTGGCGAAACGCCTCATCGTCCTTGCTTCCGCGGGGAGGTATTTGTGCGTCGAGGAGGAGACGTAGTACTATGAGGAAGAACGGCCCAGCACGCGGGGTATCGATGTCTTGTGAGATCCCGGGCAGCGCTACAGGCAGTATTTCACGCCGCTCATAGTCATCTAGACGCTCGATGCTGTGCTCGATGAAAGACAAATCCAGGTGCTTGACGACCAGCGAATCCTGCGACTTGTATTGTTGCACAAGTGCTTTCACCGGCAAGATAATCTGAGGAGGCTGAATGAATGTCTTGAGGCGCCCTAGGATCTGTATGACTCTGGCTCTGACTGTATCATGCTCACTTGTTGCCTTGAGTATGACGGGCGGTAGATATCGCTGGAGCAGTTCGTGGAGCTTCAGCTCTTTGTTGGCGACTGCGAGGATTTTAAACTCGACGCTTTCCACGAGCTGCAGCTCGCGCTGCTCCGTAGACTCCGCCATTGTTTGAATCTGGTGAAAGGGAAATCAACATGAGAATAGGAAAGATGGCATAGTCTCGCATAGTGCAGGTGCTCGCCTTCATCAGCCAGCAATCCGGTGACGTTGCATGAGCGTACTGGGTGACTAAGCCGGCACGTGTGGGAATGGCGCGCTGCGCACTTAAACACGTGAGATCGGAACGCAGTCCATAACGCTATGATTGAAATGCAAAAGCTAAGTGATTAAGTCACTGAGAAGGACAAATTCACTCAATCAGCCATATGTTCAAGTACAAAGACACATGCTTGTTGATTCTGCTGCAGTCTACCTCAAGTTTCGTCGTATGTTGATTACACCACAATGCGTCCAAAAATATTTTTACTGTTCAAGCACACTTATTCACCATTCTGGTTGAATCAAAACTTAATAGAATGTGAATAAATACAGCCAAATTCCGGTTGATGACAAAGTGGGCATTGTCCTATCGCTGCACAAAAGCATCAACCACTCGCCTGCTCAGGGTAGGCAAAGTATCGCATATAACGTTACCGCACCGACGTCACCGGGCCTGCCTGCCAAGCTCTGATTTCAGCATCAGCATTTGTTGCTTGCTCGCATGCTCAACCTTCAGTCGCCTTCATCTTCTCCCCTTCCATCCAAATATCACGACAGCAGACAAGGAACAAGTCCCTTTTGAGCAGGGTGATACGCGTTTGATTTATATTAAACGAACTCACCATTCGACTGCGCTGGACGGACTCCCCGAAATACTTTCAACTTGGAAAGCCAACAGCGGGGCAATCTTGTCGGTCCACAGCTGATTTCAGGGTCTCCTCAACCTTCAGTCCACACAAGTCAGGCGCCGCAAATAATAGACACGAGAGAGGGCTTTTGGCTTCAGTGCTGTCGACGCGACTCGAAACCCAAACCTTCGCACACATCGTTACCCCGCCGCCGCGATCCGACACGAGCTCGCCGTGATGGAGCAAGAATCCATATCCACGTTCTGTGGCATCACGGGCGCAAGCACAGAAGTGGCGCAAGGATTCCTCAACTTATCGAACAATGATGTCTCACGAGCTATCGAGCTGTTCTTCGAAAACCCCGAGCTTGCTTCCAACGTGCAGACTAGCGTGCCAACTCGACCTGCAGCCACCAGTGGGACCACAACAACACGAGAAGGGTCCCGTGAGATCATTCAAATCGACAGCGATGACGACGATATAATGAAAGTAGACGATGAAAGCGATCGGGACGACGATCAAGAAGCAGCGCAACGAGCGGCTGCCATGGCACAAGCAGACGAGGATGAGGCAATGGCTAGACGATTACAGGACGAACTTTACGGTGAAGGTGGCGGCCAGTCTGGAGGAGCAGGTGGTATGGGCGAGGATGGTGTTCGGGCGCCGATCGGGCGGACGACCGAAACACTTATCGCACCCAACCCGGCATGGGCAGACGAGGAGGATGACGGTGGCGCCCACGCGGCCTTTCTCGAGCAAATACGTCGCAGACGGGCTGCTCCTGGTAAGAGCTCTGAAGCCGGAGGAGAAAACGGAACTAATAAGAACTAGGTCGCTCCGGAGGGCCCTTTGGACAGCGGATCTGGGACGACACGGAGCCCGTGCGAGGTGGTGATGGCGAAGGCAGCACCCACACGCGCCGTCTTGCGGATCTTTTTCGACCACCATATGATATCATGGAGCGCGACCTGGCATGGGATGACGCTCGCGCGCTGGGCAAGGAGGACAAGCGCTGGATCATGGTGAACCTGCAGGATATGAGCGACTTCAACTGCCAGGCACTCAACCGAGATATCTGGAAAGACGAAGCGGTCAAGGAGCTAATCAAGGATCATTTCCTGTTCTTGCAGTACGACAAGGACTTTCACGATGCCGGCGAGTACATCAATTTCTACTTCCCAGGGCGAACCCACGAAAACCCCGACAACTACCCACATGTGTCCATCATCGATCCCCGAACAGGCGAGCAGGTCAAGGTTTGGAGCGGGAGGCCCTTCCCATCAGCTGCCACTTTCCACGCCGAGGTCGCCGAGTTTCTGGACCGTTACAGCTTGGCAGCGAACAGCAAGAACCCAGTCACCCACGCAGAAGCCAAGAAACCACAGCCCATCGACGTCGACCGCATGACGGAGGAGGAGATGTTGGAGATGGCGCTGAAGAACAGCATGGCTGGTGCTGCAACTAGTAGTGGTTCTTCTTCGACAGCCAACATTTACGATCCGGACTCTCTAACCAGACAGTCTGGGTCAGCGAGCACGAGCGCAGTGAAAGTGCCGGAGCCGGAGCCGGTGGCAGCGGAGAGCGCATTCTCCAAGATTTCGAGCTCGAATCCACACACAGAGCCAGACAACAATCCAGCGACCACTACGCGCATCCAGTTCCGTCATCCAACTGGTCGCGTGATTCGTCGCTTCAATCTCAATGATCCAGTGCGCCGGATCTACGAGTGGCTAAAGGCTGAGCCTTTGGAGGGCAAGGAGGGTGTCGAGTTTGAACTGAAGAAGATGCCACAGGGACAGGATCTCATTGAGAATCTGGAGGCCACGATTGTGGATCAAGGCTTGAAACAAGGGACAGTCATGATCGAGTTTATTGAGGAGTAATTAGACAACAGCCCCAGGGAGAACAAGACCCATCTCTGCATACCTTAGGTCGCCCACGCAGGTCAGGTTTTCGGCAGACTAGGTATCAGACATTTGGAGTTGAGGGCATTGCTTCGGTTTCGATAGACCGGCTAGAGGGAATACCAATTTCTTTCTTGTCTACCGATTGGTTACTAAAGACTTGTGACGAAAGGAAGTGAGTGCCTCTCCCTGCACGATTGTCTCGAGGCGTGCGCTAAGCCGCATTTGGCCGAAGTCAAAGCCAAGAAGTGACTTCATACCTTGCCTTGGCGTTACGTGTTTGCGAGCTTTCGGTTGTGATCAAGAAACCGAAGCTCTGCAAGTCTACTAGTATGTATGAAGAGACGATCGAAGTTGTGAGATTGTGCCCAATGAATTGTCACTACGGTCCAGTACAGCATACTGCGCAACGCTGCCCGTGTATTCGGTACGTAGAAATATCGCTGCCCCTCCATGCGGCGCGGGCGACGTGAGGACCACGAAATCAATTGGACCTCGCACGCGGGCGCCTTCCTGCGACCCAAAACACCACCGCCTTCTCCCGTTCCTTTTCTGGTTGACCCCTCGACCGCCTTTGTTGCGAATCTGTTGTGATTTGTATGGGGGCGTAAACAAATCTCCGACCCTGCGGCTACTCGTCGATTCTATTGTTGCATCGACCGCCGCGTTGTCTTTCCGTTTCCCGCTATCCTGCAACGTCTACGTCTACCCTGGCTAGCGTGGCGTCAGATCTGGGAATCTTGCTTTGTTTTGTTTCCTCGAGTCGAAATTGGGTGGGGAGGCCGCTACCTGTCCGACTGCCCCAGCATTCACCGCCGACCTTTCTTCCTCCAACAACTCAAGATCACGATCAATCGCTGAAAGAGTTCCTGCAACCGCCCTTGCACAACGATCGACGGCGCGAGACTATGGCGAGCGAGGAGAGCGAGGCCATGGACCCGCAGCAGCTGTACACGAAAGAGTACTGCATTGGTATGTTGAAGCATGGTGCCAAATCGACAGAGAGACTGATTTTCTCAGGCGGGGGTAGCTTTGGCAAGGTTTACAAAGGGTAAGCTGGCGCACTCTACGAGTCAAAGGACCAGCTGACAACAGTAGCGTCGATAAACGGACCGGCCAAGCTGTCGCCATCAAGATTATCGATATTGAAAGCGCAGAAGACGAGGTCGAGGATATTATCCAAGAGATCGCCATATTGTCCGAACTTCAATCGCCATACGTAACAAAATACCATGGTTCATACGCACGTGGCGCCGAGCTATGGATTGTGATGGAGTTTTGCTCGGGAGGGAGCTGCGCCGATCTGATGAAACCTGGCAATATTGGGGAGGACTACATTGCGATCATTGTGAGGGAGCTTCTCATGGGCCTGGAGTATCTCCACTCGGACAAGAAGCTCCATCGCGACATCAAGGCTGCCAACGTGCTGCTCGCGTCCACAGGTCAGGTCAAGCTCGCCGACTTTGGCGTTTCGGGCCAGCTTTCAGCGACAATGACGAAAAAAAACACTTTTGTCGGAACTCCCTTTTGGATGGCGCCCGAGGTCATTAAGCAGTCAGGGTACGATCACAAGGCTGACATTTGGTCATTGGGTATCACAGCCTTGGAACTGGCAAACGGCGAGCCGCCATATGCGGACATACACCCCATGAAGGTGCTTTTCCTCATCCCCAAGAATCCACCCCCACGGCTAGAAGGCAACTTTACAAAGGCATTCAAGGATTTCATCGAGCTGTGCTTGCAACGTGACCCCAAGGATCGGCCTACAGCGAAGGATCTACTACGGCATCCTTTTATTAGAAGGGCGAAGAAGACAACATACCTCACCGAGCTGATAGAGCGTCACACGCGGTGGGCAGCGACGCATAAGAATGACGAAAACGACGAGAACGATGAGTATCACAACCAAGCTTCCGTCCAGCCCGAGAGACTGAACGAGGACATGTGGGACTTTGGCACTGTCAAGCTGGTTGGAGACAAAGGTGGCCTCTTCCACCGGCCGGGGCTCAATCCACTGAACGAGAACGGCACAAACGCGCGATCGTCGCGCACCCCGGAAAGTGCGGATGATTATGGCGAGAGGCGGCGTGAGCCGAGTCCCATCAAGAATAGGGACTTTGCGCTTCAGCCCAATGACACCCTCAAGGCGGGTAGCAATACGGGAACATCGCGGCAGACGAGCCCTGTGCGGAAGCCTGTGCCCGCCCAAATGTCACCGACAAAGGTGCCCTTGCCAGCTAGTCCGGCCAAGCCACGAGAAGATGCCATGGAGACACCACGACCCCACAAATACGCACCACCCATGCTTCAAGCGTCCCCAGACTACGACCGAGAGCTTCAGGCACAGCTGCAGAGGGACATGGGGATGATCAACCTAAATCTGGCTCCGTCGCTGCGTGGGGAGAATTCGCAAACACCAACGCCTGAGAAGCCCCAACCACCTCCACATCAGTCACAGGCCAGTTCGCCAACTGCTCATGCTCCCTCGCTGAGCTTGCAAGAGATACCGCCGTTTAGAGGTGCATCACCAGCGCCGCAGCGTGTGCCATCACAGTCCATGCCGAGAGCAACACCCATTCCTCAGACTTCTGTCGCGCAAAAGCCGCTACCGATGCCCGAGATATCAACGACGCCAAACTCGTTCCCCACACCCGCGCCTGCGAATCCTAATGGCGAGCTGGATGCGCTGAATGATGTCATGTTCCCGGCTCTAGAGGAGGCTCTGAAGCGGCGCCAGATTCGCGTGCAACAGCTGTGTCCTCCAGGGCAAGCGCAGACTCCTGAGCAGCAACGCGCCGAAGCTGCGCACGAGAGGGTGCGGAAGCTGGTCTTTAAGCTGGCGCATGTGTGCAAGGAAATTGACCACTATGATAAGGCGGAACCTGTGGGCATGGGTCGAGAGGTTGGCAGCTTTCTCGAGGGTCTCCTGGAGGAGATACTGGTCCGAGTTGAGCCGCTCGATGAAGAGGATATGCAATGACACGGACGATGATGATCATAATGATGATGACAAAGGTATAAGTATATATAATAGGTGGCCAAAGGACAGGGGCCATGGGCTCAGGGCTGGAGTTCCGGCTGGTTGATATTTATCGCCACCCAGCGCGCGATACAAATATAAACGCTGGCGTTGTTGCTACAATTGTTGTCAAATATTTGGGAGGTGCGAATGGGCAAAGCCCACCCTGGAAGCAAGAAGTGGTACCAGTCCTAGGGTAAGCAGTTTTCTCGAGGCCACAAGCTGCTGTCAACAGAAACGCTGGTCCTAAAATATGCGGTACGCTAATTAATCCACATGTGAAAACGCTTCAGCGCGAGCACCAATTGCAGGAGGAACGTGCTCGGCCGAGGGCTCGTTTTCCGCATCGCAAACCGAGCTTGCGCCGAGAGACGTCGACGGCGCCCCACTGAAAGCGGCTTCCAGTGGGAAACGGGCAGGTCGGTCGTTCGGGCAAAGAGAAAAGGCTGGAGCGCGTCTGTATGGCCGTTGCTGCGGGATTTGCTCCAAGCCACGGACTTCTCCAACATTTTCTTCCTCACTTCTTCCGACCGATCCAACCCTTTCCCTTCCCTTTTTCCCTCGTGTGCCAGTGACGACGACCTACGACGACGCCGCCGACGACGACGACGACTGAGACTCAGACTGCCCTGCCCTGAACTGGACCGGCCTCGCACCTGATCCGACGCCACCCGCTCTTCCTCTGCCACCAGCTCATCTCGATCAGCCCAAGATGCTGTCGCGTGGATCTCTTCGCACGGCGCAGGTGAGTCTAGCACCAGCCATTGAGCGTTGATAGAGCTCGACTGACACCCTACAGGCCCTCCGCTGCGCCGCTGTCCAGCAGCCGCTCGCCGCTCGCGGGTTCGCGACGGTCCAGTCCGACATCTTTAAGCCCTCCCAGTTTGGCGGCAAGTACACCGTGTCCCTGATCCCCGGTGATGGTATCGGTACCGAGATCACCGAGTCCGTCAAGACCATCTTCAAGGCCGACAACGTCCCTATTGAGTGGGATCAGGTCGCCGTGTCCGACTTTGGCAACGTCGCCCAGGCCGAGGCTGCCTTCCGCGAGAGCGTCGCCTCGCTCAAGCGCAACAAGCTGGGTCTCAAGGGTATCTTCCACACCCCCATTGACAGGTCGGGTCACCAGAGCTTCAACGTCGCTCTGCGTCAGGAGCTCGACATCTACGCCAGCGTCAGCTTGATCAAGAACATCCCTGGCTACGAGACCCGCCACAAGGACGTCGACCTGTGCATCATTCGTGAGAACACCGAGGGTGAGTACTCTGGTCTCGAGCACCAGAGCGTCGAGGGCGTCGTCGAGTCGCTCAAGATCATCACCCGCGCCAAGTCGGAGCGCATCGCCAAGTTCGCCTTTGCCTTTGCCCTCGCCAACGGCCGCTCCAAGGTCACCTGCATCCACAAGGCCAACATCATGAAGCTGGCTGACGGTCTGTTCCGCTCCACCTTCCACGCCACGGCCAAGGAGTACCCTACCCTCGAGACCAACGACATGATTGTCGACAACGCTTCCATGCAGGCTGTCTCGCGCCCCCAGCAGTTCGACGTCATGGTCATGCCAAACTTGTACGGAGGTATCCTCTCCAACATTGGTGCTGCGCTGGTCGGTGGTCCCGGTATCGTGCCCGGATGCAACATGGGTCGCGAGGTGGCCGTCTTTGAGCCCGGTTGCCGCCACGTCGGTCTCGACATCAAGGGCAAGGACCAGGCCAACCCCACTGCCATGCTCCTGTCCGGCACCATGCTCCTGCGCCACCTTGGTCTCGACGACCACGCCAACCGCATCTCCAAGGCCGTCTACGCCGTCATTGCCGAGGGGTAAGTTCTGCACACCGTTTTTGAGACTTGATCTAACTGTAAACAGCAAGTACCGCACCCGTGACATGGGCGGCGAGTCGACCACCCACGAGTTTACCCGCGCCATCCTCGACAAGATGGAGACTTCTCTCTAGGCGAGCAATCCCTCTTGCTTTTACTGAATAAATTATATCCCGTACCCACCAATACCACAATCCGACACACCACCCACCGAGCTTCAAGTCGCCGAGGAGGACCAACACAAGAAGGACGATACCAGGAGAACCGGGGCCGGAAGAAGCTCCGTGTTCGCTGGAAGGAAAGGATCTGCTTGGATACGCGAACGAGTCAAGAGACGAGGAACGGCAAAAGATGATTGTACGTGTAGCATTCTTGCATTGAAACAGCAGGGGAGCAGTCCATTTTCTTGAGATGCGTAGATGCCTTTTGTTCCTTTTGTTTGGGAGAATCATGGTATCATTGATATCTTTTACTACTATATACATACACTCGTCTAGTGAACAAATATGAAAACAAATCATATTTCAAAAGGGACAAAAAAAAAAAGTTATCCTCGTCGTCGTTAATTGTTGTAGTAGTACCGCAGCTCGAGATCACCGTCCAAGTTCTGGCTTTGGAGTCTATCCCGCCACTCGGGCGTGTTCTCGTCCGCCTCGAGGCTGGCAGCTTGCAGGCGTCCTTCCACATCGACGCTGAAGATCCACGTCTTGTCGTCAAACTTGACGACCGTCGGGGCACTCATCGCTGTCACGTTAAGTCCCTCCCAGTCCGAGCGCCACGACCGACCGTCGTAATGCTGGTGTTGGAGCGTGCCGTCCGTGCCGAGGACGACGACGTCGACAATGCCGTCTTCGACGGAGACGACGCTGGGCACGGAGGCGACGTTGTCTCCGATGCTGACGAGGTCGGTGTACTCGCCGCCGTTTCGGGCGCGCCAGGTGAATGTATACAGGTTGCGGTCATCCTGGACGCCAAAGAACATGAACAGGTCCGCGTCGTCCTCTGGAGCGAAGAGTACGGGGTCGCCGATGAAGGCACCGGCAATGGCGTGGGGGCTGGTCCAGTTCGTGGTGGGGGAGTACGACGTGTGGAGGACGTGTGTGGTGTTGTAGTAGACAATATCGTGGAGTGTCGAGGCGTCGCGGCAGCAGACGGCTGGCGCGGAACGGGATGCGTGTCGAGGTTCGATGGCGGGCCATGAGCCAGACGTCATGGACCATGACTGTTGATTCCCGTTGTCGCTGGCAGGATTCGCTGGTTGGGCCGAAGGACTCGGGTTCTCATCTTCGCCCGGCTCGTTCTCGCCTGGTTCATCTTCGCCTGGTTCATCTTCGCCTGGTTCATCTTCGCCTGGTTCATCTTCGCCTGGTTCATCTTCGCCTGGTTCATCCTCGTCTGGTTCGTCCTCGTCAGGCTCATCTTCGTCAGGTTCATCTTCGTCGGGCTCATCTTCGTCAGGCTCATCTTCGTCAAGCTGCCGCTTTCGCTTGGCCTCAGCACTGCCACCAACAAGATAGTTGTGTACAATGTCGCCGCTGTCAGCATCGAGAGCAAAGAGATCGATGCGTTCGCTCCCTGGCCGACAAGCGACAATACGACTGCCCACGCCATCACCGATCGCTGCCCAGTCACTCCACTGCCCATCTTTATCGCGCCTGTACCTCGTGTACACTGTGCCGTTGTTAGAAGACAAGGCAAACACATCGAGTCTTGTATCGCCGTTTGGCTCCCATGATATGGCTACGGGCTGTGCCACCATGTTGCCTCGTGGGATCTGGCCGAGGTCCGTCCAGCCGTCAAACCTCTCGCTCTCATCGTCACGTGTGAGAAGCACGAGAGATGCGTTTTGAGATCGAGCGAGCAGATGGAGCGTCGAGTCCATCGCAGGCGCTGAGAGAATGGTCGGGCAAGCGCCGCCATCGCAGGATATGTTGTCATCCCCTGAGCCAGTTCTTTACGCTGTTAGTCCCCTGTCGGAATGAAACCCTTGTGGTTTGACTTACTCTGGGTCTCCTTGACGACCTCCCGCACCATTCTCTCCGTTGGCATCGCCGTCGCTATTGTCACCACCACCATCGCCGCCTGCTTGAGACAAGCCAACGCCAAGACCAACAGCCAAAGCAACAATGATTAGAATCACCACTGCCGCAATGGCGATATACTTCTTCCTCCTGTACCATGGCTTCAGTGAAAGAGCAGCGGCCGTTTTTGTGCCAGCTTCCCCTGAATCAGCACTGCTTCCGTGGACACCGGATACAGCTGCCGGACTCTTATCGTGTTCCTTGGTATATGGGGCGTATCCGGGCCCTTGAATGGGCGAGAATTCATTATCCTCGCTCCCAACGACTTGCAAGCCGCTCCGAGGATCTTCATTTACCAGGGTGTTGGCCGGCACTGGGAGATTGTGCGGGTTATACGGTTGCGAGACGGGCATCTTGTGTCCATCGTGGCCTGGATGGGGCATATATTCCGGCAACGTCGATGGCACAACCTCTGGCGCAGATGAGTACCGGTCTGTGGCTTGTGATGGCGAGCTTGGCTGAGTTGTTGTCCCGCCAAAAGACGAGACCTGTTCGTCGTCCGCAGGATTGCTCCCATGGGCGCTGTCACGGGCTGACATGCTAAACTGAGCAATGTCAACTGCTTGATACTGATGTTATTTGAGTAAGTGCTGTATATCAGTGCGATGAGCCGCAATGTCCGCTTGAGAAGAGAGAAGGCAATGGAGTTGAGGCGGGACTTTTCAGACCTGGAGGTCAGCCAGCTCGGGTTAGGCCAGGCAATAGTCGGCTCTTGTTGATTTTGATTTTCGTCTGCGCCATGATGGGGTCGATGGGTATCTTGAGTAGATGCTAATTTTGGCTACTGGAGTTCTCATGGGCCGATTCGGCGTGCCAGCAATCCACTTTCAGACGAACATCAAGTGGCGCCAAGGACGATGGTGGTGACTTTTAAGCTTGTTCGGCTGCTGAGCCTCGCTAGCGACAGTACAGGGAATATGTCACTGGATTGTACGTAATGCTTTTGATAATGATCAACAGAGAAGAGAGATAAAGGGAGATGATTATTCTCTATCTGAAGAAGATGCTGATGCTATGAAAAAGAGGAAGAACTTAATAGCGCGAAGATGCCGCCTTTTGAGGGCAGCTGTGGGTCAAATGTGCAGCCTGACCAATCAAGGCAGTGACTGGCCTGTCACACAACACTTTTATTACGCAGTTCGGCCGTCTTGGGCAACGAATGTGGCCAATGGCTACCTTATTATTGTTGGTGCCCGTGTAGGAAAGAAGCTTGGCTGGAATAGCTAGACTTGCAGTTGATTGTAACAAGTCCCAGTCGTTCCTGAGCAACGCCAGTTGATCACGTTTTCGGGGCCGTTATTTGTGGAAGACAATTGGGCCCTTCACCTTGCCCAAGCTAGTCGATGCTCGGACCGCGGATGAAAGAAGCCACTGTCGAATCTCGCCAAGTATTTCACCCAAAGCTGGCGAGGCTGAATCGTCCCACGATTAGGCAGACATGCCACGCGCTCCAAGACCGCTTGCTGCAAGAGCCAGCATGATCCAGCAAGACTATCGGGTGAGTCGGTCCACGATTGCATGACGACAATACAATTTGTGAAATTTCAATGTGATACAGTTGTGTTCAGATTCAGCGTCTGCTTGATTGATTTCAGAACAATGTTCTCAATCAAGATGGTGGGACCACTTGGACAGTGCGAATATGGACCGTACCTTTCTCGTGTTGTAATAGCTTAAGAGTTATATGAAGAGCCGAGCCTTATTAAAACACCAAATAAATTAGATTGTCCCCCAGCCAGTCAGTCACAGGCAATAGACTCGGATCCTTGCCACTCAACGTGGCGATCACTTTCTTATTTTCGAGTTCTGGTTATCACTCCTTCCCTTTGTTAAGGCTCACATCTTTGTCAAGGGCACATTTACTCCGCCGTACACGTTAGCCACTAAATCGCCTAAAGAAACCTCGAAGCGGTACATATGCAGAAGCTGACCTCCACGCCCAAATTGAAGTTGAAGGAGGAAATCAGCGCATGATTTCCTCTCTCTGTAACTTTGGTCTTGACAGTCTTTCCCTGCTGCTTTGCCCAAACTTTGTTGGCTGTGACGGCGAAGTGATCTGGGGGTCCTTTCGATGTTGTGCTCATCATCCAGATAAGACACCTCTGCTGCTCAGCCGTCTTAATTAAGACATCTTCCGTCGGGTCCCCGGGACTGATCCACCACAGTGGCGTGCGACCGAAATTGTCCTCCGTCGAAATATTGACCAAGGACGGAGGACTCTGCAAGAAGAACTTCACCAACTCGATGGTGTCATAACGAGCGGTAATCGATAGGGAATCGCTCCGTAGCGGTTGCAAAACTCAAGATCGATGTCGCTGCCCTTGCTGAGAACCGTCTGCATGCCTCCGCATGGAGTCCACGAGCAGCTTTACCACGGCCAGTCTCTCTTCTTGCGCTAGGGGCAGTCGTCCCATCGCATCGAAGAGCGCTGAATCTGCACCATGCGCAAGCAAGACTGCTACCGCCGCACCATCCCATTTTCCAGCAGCCAGGCAGTGGCTGTTACTGCCGGTTATATCGGCCTACGTGTCTACATGTACTGGAGCGCTGCCACCATCGTCATCCTACTCACGTTCGCGGGGCAGCATTCTGAGAAGCGCCTCATCCCTTCTTGAGGCAGCCAAAGAGAGCAGCGGGGGGATGAAGCATGGGTCGACGCGATCCAACTTGGCGCCCTTCTCCAGGAGGAGCCGGACGACTTCCAGATGCAACCCCTCGGCAGCTTTCCCGAGCGGTGTCGACCCCCTGCCATGATAGCAGTCTTGCAGCAGAAGCCGCGCAAGCTTGGTGCTCCTTTTCGGGTTCAACAATAAGTTTCGGACAGCCTCCATGTGCCCCGCAGGGTCAGCGTCGGCGCCTTTGTCGAGTAAAAACCGCACGACTTCGACGTGGCCTCGCGCGGCGGCTTCCAAGAGCGGCGTGGTGCTCCTGAAGGTCTGTAGATTGATCTTGGCTCCCCTGGAGACCAGGAGCTTGGTCAATTCCAGATCCCCCCTCTCAGCGGCCAAGGCGAGTGGGGTCCTGCCAAATCGAAAGTTGGCAAGATTAGGGTTAGCTCCCCCTATCTCAAGTAGTAGCCGCGCTACACCCAAATGCCCATATTCGACAGCTGCCAGCAGCGGTGTCTTGCCATCTCCATTTTCCAGGTTGACCTTGGCGCCGTGTGTAAGCAGTAGACGGACGGCGTTCTCGTGCCCATGCGAAGCTGCCAGGAGGAGCGGCGTCATCCTGTCCTCCCAAGCAGCGCCGTCGATGTCAGCGTCGCCGCCTCCTGTTCTAAAAATCTGTTCCCATGACCGGAGTCGTCTGCTTTTGGCGACTTCATGCCCCTTTTTGCTGAGTGTATCTTGCAGCGGGCCTGTCAGGTTGAACTGGGCCGCAACATGTAAGAGGCACGAACCGCCAATGGGCACGTCGCGCCAATGCCAGTACCATGAGCTCCGAAAGGCGAGGATGGCCCAGTATCGCACAAGCTGGTCTGACAAGTTACCAAGGAGATCGTCTTGCCGGTATCCCTGCTGCTCGCTCTTTCTGACGTGCGGCACCCAGTACAGAGTGGCATAGCGCAGCAGTGGAAAAGTAACCACCTCAGCGCTGGCCTCGATGTCGTTGATGTATTTGCCAGATTCATCTATCAAGGCTTTCCAAGCATTCAGGTATCCTATGCAGGATTTACATAGCATGTAGTGTGCTTTGCCTTCCAACAAGTCCTGATTGGTTTCACCATCTGGGTCTATGTCCATTAGTTCCGGGAGGCCATTCTTGCCGACGAAGAAATCCTGGACCGACTGATGAATGAATTGGACCGACCCGGCGTGTTCATCAGCAACCTCTATGAGTCCATGGCTCAATGCTTGGATTCGTGTTTTCATTCGGTCACCGGGCTCTTCGCAGTCTAGTGCCATTGCACCACCGTCACCACCACTCGGCTTTGACAGTCGCTGGTAGTCGGTTGTGAATTCCATTGCCGCTCGGATTTCGTCTATGGACAGGGGTTCCATGGCAAAGCTTACCCACCGGATGAGCTTGCGGCTTTCCAAGTCCATGGTATTGAGAAGCTCCATGTAGACTTGATCGAGGGTTTCTGGGATGTTGGAGACCTCTTGTTCGATTTCGGAATGCGCAGTACCTTCGAGTACGGACTTTCGGATCCTGTCTACAGCTAGCCTTGCCCACAGAAAGACGCCATTTGCTCGTTCAACAATTAGATGCGTGACGTTCATTGTTGTACTCGGATCAAGAATCGAGGATAGGTTGTGTTGCACGAAAGATGATATGGCCTCAGTGTTGTGGTCCTCCAGGGTTATTGAGTAGGTGCTTTCCAGCGTGATACTAAGGCATTGACGACAAGTGCTGACGACCCGCAACTCTTTCGACTGCATTCCAGCCGGCGTAGTAGGCTCCTGCAGGATGACCTCGAGCTCCTCAGCGAGCCATCCAGCTTCGTCTGGGCCAGCTTCATCGAGTGCATCAATAAACAAGTAGACAGGGTGCGTTTGCAGGACCTTCTGAAGCGCCTTCACAAATGCCGGTCGCAGTTCCCCTAGCTCCCACTCCCATTGCTCGCCATGCTCCCCAAATTTCCTCTTCTTTTCCTCGTAGCTGGCTAGAAGACCTTGGGGGGCATCCGGCCCCTCCTGCAGCTGATAGAGAAGCGACCGAAAGAAGCCCAGTGATGTCCTATGGATGCCCTCACCACAGCGTCCATGAAAGTAAAAGGACAGAATCAAGGCCCCCTCGACGAGTCCCCGTCGCTCGCCCACGTGTTCGGTGACGCGCTGCAGCAGCGTTGACTTGCCGGACCCCGGCTTCCCCTTGATCCAAAGCAGGCTTCGATGGCCAGAAGCCCAGTCCTTGTACGTGTCATTTTGGAAAATCCATGTGCATGTACTACTGCTGGCGGCAGCGGCCTTCTTGTCGACATTGCCAGATCTTGTTGTCGTCATGGTCTTGTACGACAGCGAACGTAAGCATTCTTCGTGAAGCTTGGAGCGCTCGCTTGGGGAAGAAGACGCGGACATACTCTGGTCCCTCCAATTGGCGGAAAGGTCGGACATTGTGACGCTCGCAGTGGTGAGTGAGCTTAGCAGACTCAACCGCCGACCGAGTGTCTTCAAAGGTAGTCAATTTCTGGCGGGGGACTAGACTAGACGTGCGGGTTGTCTCTGTGTGTGAGTGGGGTTGATACCGTGTGGCAGATCTTGATCGGATATCCCACCGTACAAGCCCACGGGGCCACGATCCGCGGCCTTCCGCCATTGATTGAGTGCTTCTTTCGCACTTGCATTCTCGTGTGCCTAGTACAAAAAAGAAACACAAATAGGACTCCATTCCCCGCAACATGAATAACCAAAACGAATTCATGAGGATCTGGCCTAAGCTCTCCCTATCAAATGCCAAGATACGCCGTGTCTGGCTTGCAGGGTGGATTTCAGAGTCGTCTCCCGCTTGGGGCCTGCTGCATGAGTGCTGCAAAATATTTGCAGCACGAGTGGAGCGACGCCAAGAGAGACCTTTGCCGTATGAATTATGTGGGCCAATTCCATTGTACTGTCCCACACCTGGTCCACCCACCGCTAATCATCGCCAAATTTGATGTGTTGCCGGGCCAATTCGTGATATTCGTGAGGAGGGTGTGGTGACTATCCTTTTTCAAGCCTTCGCCCAAGCCTTCGTCAACCGTTCAGACATCATGCCGGAGCCTTCGCGTGTGCAGCCAGCCAGAAACAGGCGGAGACCGGCCAGACGGCCTCTTCCTGAGTCTCAAATGCCTACACAGTCGACAAATGAGGCTAACCAACACGACAGCCTCGCCACGCAGGCTTCATTGTCGGGTGTTGAGGCCAGCCAGAGCCCTCAAACTAGCCAGTCAACCCCAGCCACCACGCAGTCAACAACCCAGCGGTCTGGCACCTCTAGGCGAGGGGCTAATTGGACCAAAGCACAGACCGTGACCTTTATGAGGCTATTGCTAGAAGCAACCCACGATGGCCGTCTGAATAGCCGTCGCGACTCGGTAGTCAGGGCTGTGATAGAGCAGTTGATACAGCCTATGAGGGAGGCATACCCAAGGAGGGCTTGGGGTGTCAGGATGCTCGAGAATCGGTATACCTGGTGTAAGCAATTTTGGCGTGCCTTTCGAGACCTAGCGGACAGGAGTGGTACATCGTACGATCACGATACTGGAAAGCTATCAGCATCTCTAGACACGATTCGTGGCTTCAAGGAAAGATATTCTCGTCACGCTGGCTCGGTGCTGAGAGGGCTCCCTATCGGGCCAGGCGTGGATATCGACACCTGGCGAGAGGTTTGGTCATACGACCGCTCGGCCGGGAACTATATCGCGGATGCTGGCGACGACGATGCCTTCGCTACTATGGAGAATCAAAGGTCAGCAGCTAGGCCGGCAGAGGTTGAGGAAGAGGGGGAAGAAGAGACAGAGGCACAGCGGCAGCCTGGCGAGGTTGAGGTTGAGGTTGAGGTTGGGCCGGCCGCGGTAGATGAGGGGGGTGTTGAGGAGGGCGAAAACTCTGAAAACGCGGCTCCAATAGAGCCAGGTCCGGCATTACCATCAAGGCTGGCTAATAGCCAGCCTCAACCACCAGCAAGCACCACCCAGAGCAGTGCATCAAGACAGAATAGCCTGGATGAAGCGGGGATTCAAGGGCGTTCTGTCACATCGCTCCAAACAAGCAGTCAAGGCGGCCGGCGGCAAACAAGGAATGAACGTATTGAACAATCATCTAGAGTGGGTAACTCCATAATTCAGATGGCTGATGCGCTCACTCAACAACATTCCCATGTTCGCGAGCATAACGTCTCTTCGAGGGCCGTTGGAGCCACTGATACCGAAAAGGCTATCCAGGATGCCGAGACATTTGCCGAGCGTATAGATGTCTTCTTGTTCCCGTTGTTGGTCGAGTGGATAGGGGAGAATCCACGTAATCCAGTGATATGGAACAGTATACGGTCGGATGCGATGAAGATACGCTGGTGTCGCATGCAGTTCCGTTGGCATTCTGAGGCTATGGACTCCGAAAGGCCTGAAGTTTATCAAAATATTTTCGCCGCTGAAGAGGGGTAATAAGAAGATGATATTATCGTTATTATTAGGCATGCTAGGGGCTTACTTATTTCTGATAATATTAACACCACGAATTTCGCTTTGATAACCTCGCCAACGCCTCTCAACAGCCTTAAATATTATATTGCTCCCATATCCACTGGCTTATTTTCTTCCTTAGATCGGTACCCGATGCAGCTGCCGCTAGGAAGACATGTGCACTTCTTGCAGCTTCATCGAGCCTCGACCTCTTCGAATCGTCCGACCCCAACTATGTGCCAGGGGCCCTAGAGACGGACGAGTACCTGACAAATAACGTATTAGAGTATCGACCTCCTCCCGCCAGACCTTCTTATATAACCACCCTGATAACGCGATAAAGTTCGAAAGACTTGTATAAGTATATATAATGGCAATCTGGTCTGAGAAGTCATATTCCGCGGCACTGGTGCGTATAATCTTCCACTTTCACTTACATTTACCGATAGCCTGTTCCACCATGGTCCTCAGCTGAGAATGCTGGAGGTTGAATAGTTCTTTCTCATCCTCTGGCGGTCTATCGCTTATAGCGAATTCTTGGAGACGGTACAGGCCATTATATGGAACCATACAGATCTTCCTCATGCCAAAGCCGCTGTCTCCCAGATAACAACGATGCTCAGGTACCTCGAACCTTCGTTGCAGAGCCTCTATAAGCAATCGCCGGTCATTCATCGAACCCTCAGCCCCAGCCATCACGTATGTGAATATCCCATCGAAAGCCACCGCAACCAGCACATTCTGGGTCACGTTTCCGTTCCGGTCCTAGAAACGCTGTTGCATGTCTCTTCGAATATGAGCCGGAACGTGAGTGCCATCAAGACAGCCCACCGCACCGTTGAATTCATGGAGATCCTCGTCAAGCTCAACCGCCGTGGAGACATAGCCTGATGGCAGCGGCCAAACAAAGGTCTTGTGCAATCTCCTCATGGGTCCCTTGATACAATGAAAGATACGTGATATTGTACCACGATTAAGGTGAAAGGCCCTCGCGGCGTTCCGGTGAGTCTCATTAAAGGCCATTAGCCATAAGAATACTAATACCCGTTGTTCAAGTGTGGTATATCGACTTCCTTGTGCTAGCGTGTGGTCTCGTAGCCATTACACGAGGTCAAAGAAGGTGGCCTTGGGCCCAGGAGTCCACGCTGTGCTTCTGAAGCCTCAAGGCAAGGGGCAGGAGTAGTTGGCTTAGCATCGTGCGGGCCGACAGTCAAGAGGGCGATCAAGAGGCCTAGTAAGACTTGGCTGACTGCTCGCTCATAGTCGCTTCACCGAGTTGATTGAATCCAAAGCCAGAATCCATACGTCCAATTAGGTATCGACGATTTCCAATGACCATAAATGCCCACACGCAAAGTCAAACACCTTAGATGATTCCCTCCTCTGACACCGTCACCTTGACGCGCAATCCCCACGCCGGGTCTCCCTCCCAGTTCTTCTTCTTGCCCGCCTTTTCCACCTTACGCATGTTATCCTCAATTGTCTTCTTAAAGTGCGCCTTGTCGTTCTTGACCTTTTGCAGCGCAATAGTCAGCACAATACCATCCTCGTCCTTGTCCTTGCCCGCATCCGACGTCCAGTCCGCCGTGAAGAGAACCGTGGGTCTGGACGCGTGAACTTTGCCCGTCGGGTAGAGGCAGGTGATCAAGAAGCCTACGCGGCCGAGATATTGCGCCCACCAGACGTCCTCGGGACTGACAATGTCCCGTAGCGCCTGGCGGAAGTCGACCTCGCGCGGCGGCAGCTCACCGCGGTACCGCGCCTGGAGAAGCAGGGCCAGTCGCGCGCGGTCCTGGTGGGAGACGCCATGTGTCGAGGACATGATGCCCGTCGACGTGCTGTACAGGGCGGCCGCCGACGCCGTCTCCTTGGACATGAACATGTGGACGTACATGACGTTGGCAAAGGCGTCGATGACATGGTGCCCAAATCCCGGAGGGAAACGTCTGCTGCCGTCTGAGGAGGGCTCGGGTATGGCGCTCTCGAGTAATCGTTGGATCTGCTTCCTGTTGCCGGGTACGAAATTGCGCGATGCAACCTCGAGAGGCGCCTGCTTGCGCACATTGACGGGGAGCTGGCGGAAAAGAAACCCCTCACGCACGCCGCCTTGACAGAAATGAGCCTCCTTGAGACCGAGGGGGATGGCCTCGGCGAGGACGTTGACCAGGAATGCCACGGCAGGAACCTGCGACCGGCGTCGATCGGAGACTCGGAAGAGGTCCTCTGCCGCCTTGGCAATCTCCTTGATCTTCTCGGTGTCCTGAAACTCCTTGCTGTCCACGGTGTACCCGTTGATGATGGAAATGGGATAATGGTGACCCTTGGTCTGGTTCATGTACAGCAACAGGTATCCCCAGCCTCGGAAGCCGCCACCAGACAAGTAGATGCTGAAGCCGCCGTCCCGCTTGGCCTCGTCAACGAGTATCTGTGGAATCTCCAAGTTCGCGTAAGCATGTCTGAAGTTGCCAATCATTTCCTTCCGAAACTCGGCGACAGCCTGTTTGGCCTCCTCCTTGTCCTTCCCCTCCTGGATGTCTGCAAGCTTCTTCGTGAGCGCCGCAGCACCGTAGGGAAAGCTGAAGCTGCCGCGTGGACTGGTCCTGATGAAGCCGTTTTGGCTGACGATCCAGCTGATCTGGGTCGAGCCGCCGCCGAGGTCCATGACCAGTCCCTCCATGGACATGAAGCCACTAGCGATGCCCAGGGCGCCGATCTGGCCTTCCTCTTCCTTATCGAGGAGCTGCACGCCGATTCCTATGGTTTCCTTGATGGCGTCGAGTAATTCTGCTGAGTTCTTGGCGACACGCGCGGCCTCGGTCGCGAGGATGTGGATCTGGTCGTCGGCGACGTTGAAGTCGGTGCAGATGACCTTGAACCTCTGCAAGGCGTTGCACACGGCATCAATGGTCTTCTTGGGTATGGGCACCTTCTCGCCAGTCTCCTCGTCGAACTGCGCGTCATACAGCGAGATGGACGAGCGGTACACCATGACCGTAGGGATGATGCGCGTCATGGGAGGGGAGAGATCTGAGATGGAAAAACGGATGCCGTTGCTGCTCATTTCTTCGCATCAGCTTCCAAGTCTTGATTGGGCCGCAATTGATGTTCTCTCACCTCCCCATGTCCACGATCCCGACGAGCCGGTCTCCGTGGCCCTTCCACGGCGGATGCCCATGCGTGGGCGCGACTGAGGACGAGGGAGAGGACCATTGTATGCTCTCTGCCTCGTCAGGGGTGAGGAGCTCCTCAAAGTCAGATGAGTCAAAGCCGTCTTCCATGGTCGAGATGGTCTTGAGCCGAGTTTGATGTGTGACTTGAGCGACGACAAGCTGGTGTGAGCTGAAGCAATTGGGGAGCTTGATGGCACCATCCGCCAGCCCCAGCCACACCGTCATGCCACGCCACGCCACACCGCATTTGGCTAGGCCATGTGCCGGGCCTACCCCGTAAGATCGAATCGAGTTCGACTAGTAAGCCAGCCTACCCTGTAGTACTGTGTCTTCTGAAATCGCCAGCTATTGCTATTAGACTCCAGCAGATTGCTCAAGATTGACAACACGCCTGGGCCACTCCAACCACGGCTCCCAAAAGCCCCCCAGGAGCTCGGTAGTAACGGAGACAACGTCGCGTCCCCATCCTTGGATGAACCAGTGCTGATCAAGATGATGTAGCAAGGCTCCAAAGTAAGCAAACAGAACAAGCGCAGGCGGTTGTCTCTGGTGTAGACGTACAAAGTACTCCTCGGGCGCGAAAATGAAGAAAAAGAGCGGACTTGCCCAGCCACGATTGTAGCCCCGACTATGCACAGAGGCCTCGTCCACTGTCGTGAAATGCTCGAGGTACATGCGGCAGCACCTCAGGGTGTGCAGTGTCTCATCGTAGACGGAATCTCCCGCTGCGTGCGCCTGTGTGGGCACCCACATCTCGCGCAGCCGTTGAAATGGCGAATCGTCTGTATGCACGTCTGGCTCGAGCTGGTTCCAGATGCCAATGTCAAGTAAGTGTCCCAGGGGGCCCAGTCTTACGCGCTCGTAGACTTGTACTACGATCGTCTTTACCCCACGGACAATAGGTATCAATTCTGTGCCCAGAGCTCGAGAATGACGGGCACGGGGGTCAAGGTCCTTGTCGGCGATGGGGCGGAGTGTGGCCAGCGTGTAGATGACGTTGAGTGATGCGCAGGCAAACAAAGCGTTGCTGGCTTCGTCGCTCGGCGCGACGGAGGCGTTGCTGCTTTCATCGAGGCTGAGGTTGTGAATCGCGCGCCGGAAATCCTGCAATGAGATGTTGTGGTGACAAGCGGCGTCCATGGTCCGCCGCGTTCGGCAGTGAGGGTTCACATGGGCAAGATGTAAGGCTGACAGACTGAGGATCCCGTGCATGACAAAGGGTTCATGGAAGCCAATGCGTGGAAACACAACCTGCCAACAGTCGTCCCCTTGGTCGGAGCTGTAAATGGTCCGACTTGCGCTCACTGACCAATGGTGCAGGAGCAGCATATCATCCATGTCAAAGGAGCATGCTGCGCCTTTCAAGTCTCTTGAGGAGTCATAGGGGCTGGGGATGGGAGCCGAGCGCGGCGTGCTCGTGTCTCGCCGACTGTCTCTTGGCGACGGTACGGGTGCCTCTTGAGACGCAGAAACTGGAGACCCTGCATGAAGACCAGTGACAGGTCCTTGATTCCCCACGCGAGGGGCCTGAGAAGCTGTTGGATAAACGCAACAAACGTCATGTCGGATGCAGGCATGGCATTTGGGTCTCTGCTCGTCACACTGCCACTCAGAAAGGGTCCGTCAGCAAATGATTGCTGCGCTTGATCAGGATGCGCGGTGCCTGCTTGCGTGCATACCTTGATCCGTCGACGTCTACACTCAGAACATCCGGCTCGAGATTTCCTGTGCGGCTTTCGACGGCTAGCCTTGGCACGGGCTGGTCCTCGCTCGACTGGCGCCGTCGAGGCGCCTGGTGATGCCACAGTTGTGCCCATGAATGGACAGCGTAGTCGGCTAGATAGGCCGACTGGCGAAGCGCGAGGAACGAGAGAAGAGACGTGACTGGGGGTGGGGGCTGCTCATGGAGTCATGGTAAATGAAGGTGCACTGATGAGAACGAGAAACGAGGCGACTGGGTGCGCGACATATACGAAGTACGAGCCGCGCTTGTGGGTCTCAAAGGCGCTGTAATTACCCATTTGGGAAAGTACCTTCGAGGTTGAGTGCGAGCTGTGCTGCCTGCCTACCCTGTACGTTGACACTGCTATATGCTTCTCGTGAAACAATACAATACTTCATGTTTATCTTGGGGTAATGTGACCAAAAGACTGACTCATTGTTGCAATCCATCGCACTTGGCTGCGGGTCCAGGGTTGCAGGATCAGTTGCCTGCCCATATTGGCATGACTGTGTCGTATATCGTATTTCGTTCACAGTCGTTTAGGCTTGCAGGGGGCCATATCAATCTGGCTTCTTCCGTACGAGTCGCACACAACACAAACAGGAAAGCTCTGTGAAAGATGAGACTGCGCTGACTTGAAATTAAAGATACATTTAGGTAGATGTCTCCACATAATTTTGATACAACCTCTATGTTTCCCGCTTCCCAAGATCGGGAGAATTCTAAAAGATGGTTTACGTCCGTCCTACAATAAATACAAGCCAGCGCTCTCGCAACAGCAATCGACCTCTGCAGCGCTCTGAGGCAATTTCACGAATCGAAAAACACGTCTTTCAACCCCCTAACTTCAGGCCACCGAAATGAGCGACCAACATGGTGCCGCTGACATGGACGCTGGCGAGATCGACTTCAAACTATACCGCTACACGCCGTCTCTCCCAGCTGCCATTGTGAGCGCCATCGTCTTCGCGATATTGACAGCAGTGCACGCCTGGAGACTCTACAGAGCACGCGCCTTCTACTTTATCGCCTTTACTGTTGGGGGCGTCTGTGAGTTTTCAGCCCTCCGGAAAATCGATGAGCAAGTCCCCCTGCTAATACTTGCGACACAGTCCAAACCGTAGGCTATTGCGGTCGTATATGGGGTCACTTTGACAAAGAATCCTTGGGTGGTTTCATCATCCAGGCGATCCTGATCCTCGTCGCGCCCGCCCTCTATGCCGCGTCCATCTACATGATCCTCGGCCGTCTGATCCGAACCGTCCACGCACAACATCACTCCCTGATCCCCGTGCAATGGGTCACGCGCATATTCGTCACGGGCGATGTCCTGGCCTTCTCGCTACAAGCAGCAGGCGGCGGGCTCTCGTCAGGGGGCAGCCTTGAGATGTTTGAGATGGGCGAGCATATCATTATTGCCGGTCTTTTTACGCAAATCGCCGTTTTCGGATTCTTCGTGGTCACTTCGATTCTCTTCCACCATCGTTTGAGCCGGTATCCGACCGTCGAGGCTTCGCGTGGCTCCATCCCCTGGCGTCGGGATCTCTGGGCTCTCTACGTGACAAGCGCCATCATCCTTGTGCGTAGCGTCTTCCGAGTTATTGAGTACATCCAGGGCAACAAGGGATACCTCATCTCTCACGAGATATTCCTCTACATCTTCGACGCCATCCTGATGGCGGCTGTCATGCTCATCTTTGCGATATGGTATGTGGGCCATCTCGACTCAAAAAGGAACTACCAAGATCATTGGGAAACTACTACGGATAGTGGCCATGAGATGCGCGCCCAAGAGGGAAACGACAGCCGCGACAGTGCAGGGCCGTTGAGGGGAAAAGGGCCAAGAGGATAAAAGCAGTTGTTGCTGTTGCTGGGAGGCAGAAAGGGTCGTCTATTCTTCACCCAATACCATAGGCATTTAGAGAGTAAATGAAAAGCTACCTCGAGGAGAATAAAGTATGACACGAAAGCGACGACTACCGCGACCGCGCCCTCGACGATGAACAGCCACTTCCAGCCGCGGATGCCGTGCGCCATGTCGAGATTAGAGGTGATGGCCCCGGCAACGATACCTCCAAAGGCACCGGAGAGTACGGCGGCGGTGTAGAAGATGGCGAAGCGATTGCCCAGCTCGGCCTTTGTGTACCAGCATCTCAGGAGGTACAAGACACCGGGGAAGAAACCCGACTCGATGCAGCGAAGGACGAAGCGAAAGCTCATGAGAGCGCCGTAGGAGTTGGACACGGCCATGACGGCACAGAGGGCGCCCCAAAGAAGCATGATTGAGGGAAGATACTTGGACGGTGGCACACGGCTCAAGATCATGCTGGATGGCACTTCGCAGATGAGGTACCCAAGGAAGAAGATCTGCCCATGGTCAGTTTCGCCACATCGCCTGGGGGCGTTGGACTTGCAGAGAGGATCAAGGCGTATTCATCGTCTGCCAGAGAGAGATCTACGCCCATGCCGGCAATCTTCGCGATGCCCTTCACAAGTCAATATCGCGGTTCTCGGTAGAGACAATGATGTCCCGGAGTGACTCACAATGTTGGTTCGATCAACGTAGTTCAGAATGTACATAATCCAAAGCATGGGCATGATAGCAAGTCGATCTTGCGAACGAGCTTGCGCTCTTCTGTGTTGCCGACGACATAGCTGCGGATGGCGTCGGCGAGCTCAGTGTCGGCTTGAAGCGTGTCCTCCTTGGTAGAGACGTTCTCCTTCTCGTAATCCATGGCGGTCGATTCGCAGTGAGATAAAGCTGTGACCTGTCGAGGCAGGTGGTGGTAGATGATAATGCGAGTCCTGGTTGTAGGATGCGCGACGTTGGGACTATATACTTTTGGTGAGTCGTGACGTGACTCGCAAGGCCGTCTTCATCCTCCAAGGTTCAATCCTCATGGGGATCTCTCCAGGTCTTGTGGAAGAATCCGAAGTCTGGAGCCTGGATCATGCACTAACCACGGAGGAAGTGGTGATGCTTACTGAGACGGGTCTCCCATGTCTTCTTCTAGAGCAGCAGGTCGGCATCATACCGGCGGATGCTCTCAAACTCGTCGTTGGCCACAAGTCTGGACCGTTCCAGCCCAAGCGTATGATATACGCGGCTGAGGATGCGAAAGACTAGCGACTTGGCTGTGGAGGCGATAGCCCGCCTGCTGCGCACCAGGAAGGTCCAGGAAGCTCTCGTGCCGCACAATGGTGACATCCTCTGGGATCACGGGTGGTCGCCCATAGGCAATGCTGAAGTGATGGTCGCACACATACAGCAAATAACATAAACGAGCCTTGTCGATGTGTTGAGACTTCTCCTTGTCGAGCGCGCGCTCTGAAGTGGTGCAGATTCAGCTCGGTGGCGACGCGGACGGCCAGGCCAGACAGCTTCCAGCTAACGTCAGAGAGCCAAAAAGCGCCAATGCAGAGGCCACGGACGTCATCGAGAATGTGGCAGCGCTGGAACATGGATTGGCTCACCAGCTCAAGGAATATTGGATAGCATAGATCGAAGCTGCTACTGTTGTCCTGTGCATGGAGGGCCGTGACAGCGAGGATGGCAGCAGCTAGCAGCGGTGAAGACTCGCGTGCAGAGGAGAGGCTATCATGAGTGAGGGCTATGCCAACCCAAAGATAGGCATTTAACGTTCCCTTGAGTGCGTTGAACAGGCTCTCGGCCTGCTCCAGGGGCACGCGTGCTTCGTCTATAAAGTCCGGTTCGCGTGGCTGACCCGCGACTGCCTTGTGAAAGCCTGTGCCGCTTCTGATGTTGCGCAACTTGGTCACCTCGAACAGACTGGCCATGGGAGCGTCCGTAATGCCCCTGTCCGTGCTCTCCCTGACCGGGCCACCAATGCCAGTTTCTACCACCGCTGCCTCGGGCGAGTTCTCGTGCGTCATGGCTGTGACAGCAGGCGCTCTGCTTGGAGATGGTCCCGTAGAAGGGCTGATAATATGTTGAGGCAGCACGGGGGCAATATTGTGCGTGGGTTGAGGGTCTCGTTGACAGGCCCGCATGTTTACCGACATTCTTTGCAGCTCAGTCACCGTATTCTGCGATGATGAAATCTGCTGCTCAACACCCATCCTTCATTCATTCTCAGCATCCAGCAGTGTCTGGAGACTCCTGTTGACCACAAATTCGAGCCCTTGACGCTCGCAGCGTGCACATCGCGGTTGGCCAGGCTCCAGATCACACTTGACCTTGCGCGTCTGGCACTGTTGTTTACCTGCACGTACAGGTTAGGCAGACTGCAGTATGAAGCAGCAGCAACGCGTGCTCAGTGCTCGTACGCTGTGGCTTTTCTGGAGATCTTGGACTTGTGGGCCGCCTCGGCGGGATCCTCGAACCGCGCTCTCTTCATCACAGGCGGCCAGCTGGCTAATCAGACGTCGGTGCCAGATGCAGGTTTCGCAGGTGAAGATGCGGGCAGAGCACCGCTCTTGTTCTCCAATTTGTCGGGGAAGGGATGCGGGAGTCCGGACTCCGGAGACCGCGTGGAAAAAAAACGCGGCAGGGACATCGAGCTTCTTGCGCGGGGCAAAGGCAAGGCCCCACCACTGAGTTCCCGCGGTGTTCGTTCCGCACCGCTGTGGGAGCCCTCACGTCAATCTCACCAGACATGGAGTCCAGGAACCAGAGTCCACTGCAAGTTCAGCAAACCCCATGGCTCGTACCCGTCGAGATGCGGATTCTCTATAAAAGGGCTCGAACGCCCTCGAGCTCGCTCATGATGATGGCTTGAACCCCCAAAACCACCCATCGCCTACGACGCCTACTCCCGACATCATGGCTCACAATGTCGAGGATTCTAGCCTAGGCACAGACACCACGGTCAAACTGGCCAGTGAAAAAGAAGATTTGGTCCATCGCAAAGTCAACTACTTCTCGGGATACTCTAGGTTCAGCAACACGTGACCGGCGTGCACATTGCAGCAGCGGCTGAAGCCATTGGTCTTGCAACCAAGGCTGGGCTTGCACCAAGGGACGTTTTCGACATCATAAGAACACATCAGGGAGTTCGTGGTCATTCAAAGACCGCGTGCCACAGATGCTCAATCAGGATTGGGCGCCAAGATCATCCTTGGACGCGGCTGTGAACAATATGGCCTGTCTCACTCGCCATGCGTCTATGAGGTGGGACATGTTAGGGCTGTCCGTACGGACGGAACAGTGGTATTTGCAGCTCGCAGTCTTCAATTCCCTCTCCCGGTGGCTTCAGTGGTGAAGCAACTGTACATCGCTGGTGCTGCGCAAGGCTACGGGAGCGAGGACGACGCTGCTCTTCTCAAGCTTCTCCTGCAAAGAGGTCATGCCATCTCAAACACTGAGCAAACGGTACACGAGGGAGCCGAGCCGACGCCTGTCACAGCGCCGATGGAGATCGTCAGGGGTGGAGTCGTCGGTCTCGGCGCCATGGGCCAGGGCATGGCCGCTTCGCTCGCAAGGGGACGGTTCGACGTGTGGAAGCCATTCGTCGACAAATTTGTGTCCGCAAATGCAAAGGCAACCGCAGCCGAATCACTAGCCATGGCTGCAAAAGATGCCGACATGCTACTACTAATGGTCCTGAACGCTGCGCAGGCAGAGGATGTTCTCTTCGGCTCTGACAAGGCCGCCTATGCTCTAACCGACGGCGCCGTTGTAATTCTTGCCTCGACTGTGCCACCTTCGTTCGCGTGCAAGTTGAAAGGGATGCTGGGCGACTTGGGCCGCAATATCGGAATGCTCGACTGTCCTGTGAGCGGTGGCGTGGTACGCGCCGCGAACGGTACGCTTATGGTGAGGCCATGATGCCCTTGTACATGTAGCTTGATTGATATAGATTCTGACATTCGCAGATCATTTGCTCTGCAGACGAGCCAACGGTGGACAAGGCGCACAGCGCCATCCTGTCTACGACCGGCACACCGACCAATCTCTGTGGTGTAGGCGCAGCATCATCTGTCAAGATGATTAACCAGCTACTCGCCGGCGTCCATATTGCTGCCGCAGCTGGCGCCATGGCACTTGCTGCCCGTTGAGGTCTCGACACGCGTCAAGTTTCTGATCTCGCTTGCACGGGACCAGCTTGGAGCTGGATGCTCGAAAATAGGGGACCGCAAATGCTCGAGGCGGACTGGATGCCACACTCGGCGCTGACTATCTCTGTCAGTGATCTGGGTATCGTGCTGGACGAGGCCAAGAAACTGGAATATTTTGCGCCCATCTCGTCAGCCTCACACAACCTGTACCTGGCGGGTGCGTGCAAGGGCTGGGCGAAAGATTCGGACGCGGGCGTCGTGCGTCTGTGAGACGTCTCTGTATCAGAGAATGTGTCACCCAAGTCCAGCAAACTGCAGACCGAAACGGAGACAACTCTCATCAAGCCTCTTCCCGCCAAGGACACGCTCGCCGCGCTGCCCAAAGACTACTCAACAGACGTCCTCGACGCCAACCGTCGGTACGTTAACAGTGGGAGCGCGCCTGTGCTTGTGGTGCTGGATGACGACCCCAAGAATACACAGACCTGCCACGGTATTAACGCGCTGATCGTCTGGGATATTGAGACGACCGGGGCGCAGTTCGAGCGCGATTCGAGGGCTTTTTTTTTCATCTTGACCAACATTAGAGCCCTTCCACCGACAGAAGTCAAGGCTTTGATTTTGGAAATTTGCCAGAACATCAAAGAGGCGGCGAAGCAAACCGGAAAAACATTCGAAATCGTGTTGCGCGGCGACTCCACGCTCCGTTGCCAACTTCCTGAAGAACCAATGGCAGCAGAAGAGGCTCTTGGAAAGTTTGATGACTGGATTATTGCACCCTTCTTCATGCAGGGAGGCCGCTATACGATAAACGACGTGTATTACGTTCAAGAAGGCGAGATTCTGGTACCAGCCGGCCAAACCCTCTTTGCACAGGACGCCACGTTTGGGTACAAGAACTCCAACCTACGTGAGTATGTCCTCGAGAAGTGCAGTTCGCGGTTCAACTGCTCGTCTTTCGCGTTGGTGACGCTCGATGACATCCGCACTGGAGGCCCCGACGGTGTCAAGGCCAAGTTGCTTTCACGACCAATTGGTCAAGGCACCACCGCTGTTGTCATTGTCAACGCAGTAGTCGAGTCGGACATTCGCGTCTTTGCGGCGGGACTACTGGAAGCGCAAGAGGCTGTGTAAGCGACGAGGGTCCAAGCTGGCTGTCGTGGGATTTGACGTGTCTAATCTCATCAAGTCAGCGGAGTCGGCATCTCAAACCATTGCGGCTGCCACCATCACGGCAAATACAGAGATCGCTTCGGGCCATGAAACACTGGTCATGACTTCGCGGACACTCATCAAGACGTCTGACCCGCTCGGCTCGCTTCAGATTGGGTCGAAAGTAGCCATCACTCTTGTGCGAATTCTACAGGGCATCGAGACACGACCGCGGTACATCATCGCCAAGGGTGGTATCACGTCGCCAGATGCAGCGTCCAAGGGGCTGAACATGAGAAGAGCACGAATTTTGGGGCAGGCAGCACCTAGTGTGCCGCTATGGAGATGCGACGAGGCCACGAGTCGCCATGCTGGAGTGCCATATGTGGTGTTTCCAGGAAATGTAGGGACTGAGGATACGCTGGCAGATCTTGTCAAAGCTTGGGATGTCCGAGTAAAGTCAGGGAGACAAGTCACTCATTGTTCAATCTTTTAGGTAAGAAAAGAGGGTTTTGGACAACCCAGCAACACACATGACCCCGACCAATATCACGCCCTACGCGCCGAGCCGGCCCTCCCACTCAACCTCCTCCCGCCACTCCTCCTGGGCCCCCCCAGCCCTCGGCTGCCGGGGTGCCTCGACGGGGGCTGCGCTGTGGTTGCTGCGCGGTGCTAGTGACAGAACCCAGTTCTAGAGTCGGTATGGACTCACGTTCCCACCAACTGGCGGCCCTCGTCCATCGAGCCCCCGGTTGGAACGGGCTGTGCCACTAGGGGGGGAGGAGCTGGCGGGGGAGGGTGGTTGGCCCGGGGCGACCCGGCGGAATTTGAAGATCAGTGCGCTGGACAAAGGTAAGTATCTTGCAAACTATGGTCGAATCTCGGAGGTCCAGTCTTGATGTACTTACAGTGCCATTGTGTCAATGATGTTGAGGAAGAAAGAAAGAAGAACAAGCCAGCCACTTGGCAAGCCTCGAACTATATATACGTCGGAATGGATGTTGCTGATTGGAGCGATTTTAAGTTTTGTTTACAGGCATCTTACCTTCTTGGTAAGAAGGTAGATACTACCTTCTCTCTTGGAGACTCCTACAGCAATTGCATTTACTTTAGGTTCCTTCGAGGGAGGGGTTGGAGTTCTCGAAATGGTCCGTGGAGGATACCAAGGGACGCGCCAGTTGCAGGGGCTACTGAATTGACCATGTATACCAGGTATGTTTCTATGTATCATGCTCAACTGTTTTTGGAAATCTCACAGCCTGCCCCTCTTGTGTCTATTTCAACAACTTAATGCCCCAGAGCAACGGGATGTTATGCTTCCAGCGCTCGACCTCCAACAATTAGCGTGGGCGACAATGACGCGCCACGCGGAGCCTTTGGCGGATGCTTCGCCCTTGAAATTGGCAGTTTCTGGCAATCGTTGTAAATGCACTGATAGAAGTCGTTGGTCAGCGCAGATTCTCTCACAAGGTGGGATGATCCAGAATAAATGATTAGTCTCCATGTTACCTGTGCGCCTTTGGGCAAACTGTTGAAGCTTCCAAGCGACCATGCCTTGTCGCGGTCATTGCACCAGTAGATGGCCGAGCTGCACGAACATCTTTCAATACCACAGCATGATGATTATACCGTGAAGCATGAAGACGCTGAGCGCCGTCCGACGCGGCTGCATTTGCCCGGGTCAGCGCCCAAGTGAGGCTTGCCTAGCACGCCGCGCAGGTAGCTGATGCAAGCCCTGATAGCCTTGGTCTCGGAAACGGAAGGGCTTCATCCACAGACGATGAAACGCCATTCATTGTGGCATGTGTGGCGGTTGACGAGATCTCGCCATCCGGGTGGCACTGAAGCTTCTACACGAGAGGGGTATCTGTTTATCACCTGGAAAATTCAACTTCGTTGCTCTGGACAGAGAGAGATATGACCTGGGCAGAGACGACAAAGGCGAGCCGCAGCATCTTGCTGAGGGTGGGATAATACATGTTGACGGAGGTCTGACAAACAACACCTGAGACGGGTTGGGTTGATGATCAGGACATTGGGCGAGGGCGTGGCTGCTAAATTTACAGTCGGGTAGCAGCTCAAGACGCTATTGTTGCTATCATTCACTAACACAAAACGCCCCCAAAGCTGTGAGAAGCTGTGCGCAAATTCGATGTTCTGAACCCCAGACAGAAATCAAAACTCCGTGAAGAACGATGCTCCGTCCGAGCGAAGGTACGAATTCTGAATGCTCCGCTGGCCATTTGTGCGGAAGAGGTTCACGAAGCCAATGTCAACGTGAGAATGCTGCTGGCGGAGAAGACGTGCGCATGCAAGTTAGAGGCACGGAAGTGCCCGAATAAGCAGACTTCACCAGAATGACCAGGCAAAGGCTCACGGACCGACTACTTTAAGAATGTTCTATGAGCCTTCGTCAATTTGGGGGCTGGTGAATGCGGGGTGTTTCATTCAGTTGTCGCCCCTATTTTCACAAGGCTCGATTGTGTTGTATTGATTGATGTTCTGATCGAGTGTCCCACAAAATCCCTCAAGCTGTAAGCCCCTTACAAAATCCT